TTGATCTTTATTCGGTCATAAATAACTGTAATCTATAGATATTGTGTTTATAACTCTATAAATGCATTTTATTTTTATTCTAAACTTATGGATTCAAAATAAAAAGACTTATTGTAATAATTTGGACTATTTTTATTTGAACTTCTAACATAAAGTATGGTCGTGTAGTATTGAAAACATAACAAACACGCTATTGCACATTTACTTAGTATAAGTACTAGCAAATCAAACATCCAATAATATCAGTTGTATGGCTTAATCTAAACAATCATAATCACAAGCTACTCATAAGCCATGCTACCTATGAATGGTTTGTTTGAACAAATGTGTTTTTCCATATGGATATTTAGTTTAGAGTAGCTTGTGATGAAATAATCGCTCAGCAGCAGCACATTAAGTTTCTACAAACTAACATGTTTCGCAAACGATTCTGCACTTAATTTTCAACGGATGAACGTTTAGAATCGATTGACGAAATTTCAATTTTGCATACCTTGGAGTGCTGCTGATTGTACATAAAATTGTCTGTAAGTGTTGTCATGACAGTTTATATAGTATTACAATTCATTAATATATTTTTGTCAAAAATAAAATTCAACTGTATTTCAGAATATTATTTTTCTCTACAAGACTTTTAATTTAAATAATTTATGCAATTTAGGTAAGTACACACAGAGGCATATCAGATCAAAATAAAATGTAAATAATACATAGACGAGTTTGAACCAAACCAAAAATGTGAATTTTAAATTAAGGTTTAAAATTAATTGAAAAAATCGACTGCGTATAAAACAGACATTTGCATTGTAATAACAACTAGAATCCACCAATAAATATGTATCAAAATATGTGTATATCAAAATGAAAAATTATTTACAGTAATAAAAATAGTTATATTATTTCAGATCCAGCAATAGATTATAATAATTAATAATCTAATTAATTGGAAAAACAGCCTCATAGTTTTGATGAAGTACCTATACCTAGTAGCACAACCGTCGATTAATTGCCATTAGTTTATACCAACATCACTGATACAATTATTCAAATTTAAAACATTCATTAGATCTTTAAATTTGTCATTTTATTTGTAATGGATAATAGACAATTATGAAAAAAAAATAAACAAGCTTTACACAGAACTTTAATTATGAGATTGATTGTCAATTGCACAAACTTCCATTAAAGTTTAATGATTACTTTAAGCTATAATGAATATTTTAAATTTGAAAATTTGTATGGACAATATGACATTAAACTAACGACAATTATAATTAACGTTTGTGCGGCTTGGGGTGTATGAATATTAGGCTGTATTGGCACCATAATGCGTGGAATGCGTTACATCATTCTCTTACTTGACAAAGTAAAAAATAATTTTAACTAGCAAAGATTGAGTGGTAATTGTTAACAGTTTAAGTTATGGCGCCATCTCAAAATGATGCAATTCATTTTTTTCTTACCTGGTACTTTAAAATGTTTGTTATTGTTAAGTAGTTTGGTGCCACCAGCCCCAATTGTAATTACACATTAATCCTCGTTAATCGCGTCCCAGAAGTAGTAGTAGTAATAAAAGTAACCAATTGTTCTTCCTCCTCCTTCGGCGCAGTTGATAAGGATCAGTGTGCATTTAACAAAGGAGAAAGTGCTTTTAGTTATGTCGCTAAGAAGGCATATGAGACAATATGGTCTGAAGTAGCCAAAAATACCAATTCGTCTCAATTTTTTTCTGATTTTAAACCTTAACTGTACTTATAATTAAAATTCAAAGTACAATGATCTGATATGTAGCTGTGTGTTTATGAAGAATACAAAACGATCGACCGACAATGAAACATTTCTTCCAACTATTAGTATTTATCTGCATTAAGACGTTGATAGCCGCGTAGGTACAGTAAACATATTAGGTTATACATATCTGTCAAATTTATTTACTTGTTTTTAACCTAAAGGAATTGATGGTAGAGTTGAAAATCAACTGCAATTATTTGATATAATGTGGTAACTTGCTTGCTATTGCTATTGTGCTTGCTATTGTGTGTACATGTTTCATACAAAGATCAAGTTTTGGGGACGTGCTTGGTTATTTAAGTGTTTTAGCGACATCGAATTTTCAAGTTTTGCGAAACTTTCACTGTCGTTCGATATTATAAAATATTTTATTATTACGAATACATTTCTCAATTCCCTACGTTTATTTATTATTGTTACAAAGACGCGATTGATACTCATTACATACAACTATCACTTATTACCTACGAAGAGTCAATTCTACATACCTTTATTATAACTCGGTATATTAAACATCAAAAAGTATGCTGAAAGCGATGTCACACGCAAAGAATGATCGCAGTGACGTCACATTGCATCACGTACTGTGTACGTGTGAAATTAGCACCGGTGAACATATCTATATAAATATGTTAGACAAAAGAAGTAAATTGATATGACAGCGCAATGATTAGCAGCCTGTGATTTTAAGCAGGATTCGCAAAGCTTGGTCATTGAATGGGTGACCAATAAAATATTATCTCAAGTTGTACATTTAATTGGCAAGCACCAATCCAAACTAGGTCCGCATAGGTAACGGCCCGTTCATCATATTTGTCTCTTTCCATAGATAAATATGGCAACATGTAGTATTTAATGAGTAGTGTGCGTGAAAATATCAGAAACATATAGGTATTCAATATAGCTTCTATCGTGAAGTGTATATATACTTTGCGTTAATACTCCAACGTGTGACATCTCCTTTAAAGTAACAACAGCTAAGATTCAATTTTCAATGGATTATAAATTACAAGATTACATTAAATAGGACAATTTTTTTACAGATATGACTCGCAATCACAAGGATTTTCAACTACTTACAATAAATCACTTTAACATTATCAGAATTTTAATTATTATAAGATTCAATGATTGAAATAGGTGAATCTATATTTTATTTTACAATATTTTTTTAGACGATATGGTTGTTTAGTTTCTTATGTTAAAATTAAAGAAACAAGCGATATGCATGAATAGACAATCATTCAAACTATATCATTTGTATAAATAAACAACTAAATCTACACTACTATAAAATTTGGTTGTATTATAAATTCAAGTTTAGTAGTGCTAAAATAATGGTATAAATATATTTCACCAATTCCAAACATTGATTGTAATGAAAAACAGTAAGAATACAGACAAATAGGGTTTACAAAAAGTCTACCATTTAATGCGAAATAATATACATAGCAACACCGAAAGACGCCATTTTATGCCGTCACGTAACAAGCTCGTTTTGAAATATGATAGAATCTAAAGAGAGTAAACGACTATCCTAGAATCAAATACTTCCGTTATATCAAGCACCATCTTAGACCATTCATATATTTTAGCCAAGTTTTTTGCTAAATATTGCCTTAGTAGAAACAAGAAGATCTATTTAAAAGGATATTTTTCTTTATTTTGTTTTCGTTAGATATTCTCACACTGTTAAGTTCAAAATTGAAGGATTAAATAGGTTTAGGATTTTCTTTCTTTGCTAAAGACATAGATTATAGTCAATGTCATTATTTCATCCACTTGAGTGTTACTAACCCACCAATCTCTAACTTATGATTTATATATATGTAATATAAAAGACTCGCTTTCAGTTAGCGGTCTAATCTAGATAGAAACATTTTTAAACGCAAGACGTATTTTTTTTTTCAAGCAATTTTTTTTGCAACTGAGTGTGATAATATTTGTCTTCAATATACACGGTGCAAATAGTTGGAGCAAGTAAATGTGCCAATACTTACTTACGTTTAAGTCACTGGATCAACACATGAGAGTTCAAGAGAGGCATTAAGAATATACATGCGTACGCGCACTGTGAATAAGCACCAAAACATTGCTTTTGTCTAAATAACGATAAAAAAAAAACTATCTGATTTGTTCCTAAAGCTGAGACGCAAAATATGGTTTTTCAAACTAGGTTCATTGTAGCCTTCATGAAGCACTTTACTTTTAATAAAAACAGATTTTCTTTTTCCTGCAAGATACCTTCCATTATACTACCAGGAAAAAAATGAAGCACGATTGCATGAATTCATCGAAATTAATTCTACTTACAACAATAATAACAACACCAAATTACATTTTTATATTTCGAAAACATCTATGATTTATTTAAATAAAATATTGGACAGTAAGTTTGTATTAACATTACTTCAATGTGTAGATTAAGCATTTGTGTTATGAAAATCGCTAATATATCATGATCTGCAACTATCATGTCAGATAAGCTTAATTGTTTACACTAGCCCTACCTAAAATCAAACCAGCAATCTAGCATAGCTTTACATCGATACCCTATCATTTCGTGAACTGTTGTTACCTTGGGAATCGATGTAACTATGGTAACTCCTGAGTAAACTAATGCATTTGACAATACTATGGCATTATATGTATTTATAGTACGACCTGTTTATTCCTACACACATGTTAAATAAGGCCGCCGAAATTTAGTTGACATAGATTTGGTATTATTACGTTATGAAATTAAATATTTGTATATGAAAATATTAAATTAAGTGAAGGAAAGTCTAACTTTCGAAAATCTTCTGGGAACTAACAACATCAATACAAATATAAATTTTGACCGTAACAGATAAAAAATAAATTTTGAAATGTCTTATTTAGCAAAATCGGATACTATAAATACGTATGTGATCAAAATAAAAGGTTGTTAATTTATCTCAACTTTCCAACGGGACAATTAGTTAAATTCAGTGATTATAGTAATCGATTAGGCCGGTTACCATAAAAACCTAATCATTCTAAATATTTCTAAACGAATATTAATTATGATAGAATAACACTTACTCGTTTATCCGCATTTGAATTCGGCCGAACTAAAAATTCCGACAAAGATTTTTGGACAATTTAGACGCCCCGAATTATGGTGGTTTAAGCAAGTTTTTTCATTTACTTTTAAACGTGAAGAGTCCGGACCCTAATATGGGTTAACGACCAAATTTGATGGTGCCGTTACGCGCTTGCATATGATAATCTTGAAAGAATTCCTTATTTTCTACAAGTCATTGTTTCTATGTAATAAACCTTAAGTTAAAAATTATTTCAATTGAAATACTTTATGAAGAAGGAATATGGTGCATTTTCGTTTTGATATGTGGAAAGTAACGTGTGGTTACTGTGGTTTACTTTGTGGAAAGTAACGTGTATTCTACTTCGTAATAATATTATAGAAGCGAAACTATTTGAGCGGCTTATCGCATTATTATTTAATATGGTTTGGTTACATCTAACAACAAAAGTTGCTGATTTTATGTTCATGTTACTAAATTTTTCATATTTATTAATGGCTAAGAATCATTGCCACTAATAAGCAGTATACTGATAAATATCTTAAGCGAAGACAAATGTAGTCCTCACTGAAACAGGAATGCTTTGATAATGTTCAGTTCATATAAATTATTAAAAGCGAATCAATATATCTTTTAAATAATCACAATAATCAGGGTTATTATTCGTGAAACACCAGCAAAATCGCAGGACTCAATATTTCATATTATAAACAACATTTGATTTCTATATAACTTTGAATTGATGTCATATTTCCTTCGTTTCAATGATGTCATATTTTCCGCATGTATACCTATTGCAAAGGATTGACAACATGCCCAATATCAATGGATTGTCGTTGCGGTGCCGAAAATAATAATATTTTTAATGAAATATACCCGCATATTTATTTATAATATATATATGTCAATAAATCTGTTGTGCTGCCGTGACATTTATAGACCTATTTTATTCATAAACGAAAAAACGACGCTATATCCGCGCTGTATGAAGTATTTATATACTACTAGATGCACATAGAGTTATTAACACTTGAGCGTTAAATTAATGTAAAATAAATCTTTGCAAGAAAAAAAAAACATCAAGTCATTGTTATTTATGATGTTAAATATACAATCCTACAAGTTGGTTCACAAATAAACCCGTATATTTATTAAACTCAATGAAGAACTAATTCGACAAACAGTTAGACAGTAACAAGTATGTACTTTTTGTACGAATCTCGAGCTAATATACCGCACTTAATCTAATTCAGATCCGTTCTTAATCAAAAGGTGTTAAAAAGTAAAAAAAAAAACCTCATGCAAATATAGATTCTATCTCAATACATATGATTTCATTTTCATAAAATACTCTTTTTTACTTTTAAAATTAGTTGATAGTAATATATGGCAAACACACAACTCGGAAATGTTGTTCTAGTTTTTTTTTTTTAAGTTGTCATACATATTGAGAATAATAAAACTACAACCATCGTTACATTAATAGAACTATCACATTCTAAATTGAAATAATACAGTCAACAGTAGTTCAGGTAGGTCATCATAAAACTGAAAATATCCTTTAATCAATTTTAAACCTTTATTTCTAAACAATAAGCTCGTATTCCCACTATAAAGGTAAAATGATCGTTGCACAACTGTCACCCTAAAGTGTAATCTATATTGTGTGTGCATTTTTAATGTGCATATAGTAGCCACATTAAAAATGCCTCAGGCCAATCGCTTGCCGTTTACGTCATCACGTCAACGTAGTGACGTTCTACGTTTACGTGGCTGCAATTGATAGTCTTGAAGTTTATTAACAATCTATCGTCAAAGCAAAACACGGACTTCACGTGAAAACACACTCTTAAAGTTTAAAATCGATTGTAGAAATATCACATTTTAAATGCCCTAACCTGACGTGTAATAGTATATACCATGCTCACATAAATCACATACATTCACTAAAAATCACATTCATCAACATTCACGACATCAGGAGAAACTCAAATTTAATAAAAAAGAATTCACTAATACCATACTAACTTTAAACTTAAAATTAAAAAAATCATCACTAAAAAAATAAATAAATTACTTAAAAATAAACACAGACACACGAAACAAACAAATGCTGCAAACAACCGAACTAAATACGTTGAGGAATATCAAATTTGCCGTCATAAATACAGTACGGTCCTTCGCCGCCGTTTACGTTACACTGACATCTGTCACTGAATACGCACGCCGCGTCACTTGATACGCGATAAATAGCAGTTCCACGTACCATACTGTCACAGTGACCGGTATCAGTGGCGCTCGTCGGTTCGCTTACTGTTCCTTCCTCTGGGTCTCGTGTCATACAAAGTCCATGGCGTCGTGGGCTTTCGTCGAGAACTTTCCATAGGAGCGCTTCTTCAAAGTTCGCTCGATCAGTTTCTTCACTTCGCTGACTATGAATACACTGGACGTGAGGCAGACTAGGAATATGAGATCTGAAAAAGAATGTGAAGCCATGTTCATATGTCTGTTATGATTATACGTAGGTTTCTTTTCGAATATATATTTTGGTAATAATAATAATAATAACAAAATTATTCAAATCTATCTACGCTTTGGTGAGTCTGGTATGATTTTGTGTATCTTTAGAACAACCATATATATGATTTAAAATTTACAAACGCCAAATTTAGCAATATATGTATATCAGTTTCATTATTCTATCTACCTATCCGAATCAATGAGATATGCCTCTATTAATTGTTACACTGGCACTAGATCGACTAACAAAATAATTAAATACCATGTGCGGTGAGAGCCTCTGTCTGGAACACTCGCTGCAGCGGAGGGAAGTAGATCACCAGCATCTGACCAACCAGCGACAACGATACCGCCACCAGGAACATCCTCAACACACCACCAGACACATATATGTAAAATCACACATGACCCGTAAATGTGAAGGTGTGGTCCTACTGGATGATGGAAACAATTGGCAAGGGAGACTATAGGGTAATTGTCTCACGCCGATGTAGGCGTTGTTAGCCCGATTGTAGTGTTATTACTTCTATAGCTAATTGTTATGTATTTTTTTTTTCATGTATAATAAAGTTTTCATTAATTCATTGTTAGCCCAGAGAACCGCGGTGCAATCGAAGTAGGTTAGACATTATATTTATTAAAAAAAAAAGAAATTCTATTTAGTCCGTCTGTCAGATAATACAAAAATATAAGATACTTTTTTTTACTTCAATTTAAACAAGAAATGGCTTCCATAATGGTAATTAAAGTTGCGGAGTGGGAGCTCGCTACGTCTAAATGAAATGTACAAAGGTGTAACATCATTTCAACTCAATGTATAGTCGTGATTTATTGATTAGGCAAAGATCTAAAAATACATGTTTAATATTCTTCAACAATCTACCTAACGCACATAAGAAAAAAAATAGTTATCAACCCTATTATTTGCATTACCCTTGGCACACTAATGCAATGTGTCACTTCACTTGACAGGTTAACAGAAAATTCGTAGCAATTACTAAAACTTAACACTTAAAAGCTCGGTGTAGCTCGGTGGCGTAGTGGATAAGCGCCGCGGCCCGCGATCGTTGTCGTTAAGCAACTTTCGCAAGGGTCGGTCACGGGATGGGTGACCAAAAAATATTATCTTGAGCTACTCCGTGCTTCGGAAGGCACGTTAAGCCGTTGGTCCCGGCTGCATTTGCAGTCGTCAATACCCTCCAATCCGCATTGGGCCAGCGTGGAGGGTCATGGCCCATACTCCTTAGCCATCCATAAGGAAGGCCTGAGCCCCTGCAGTGGGGACGTAAAAGGGCTGATGATGATGATGAACACTTAAAATACTCTCTGTTGTTATTTAATTTTTAATTATATCCTGTAATAAATTAATACTATAGTTTTAATAGAATACATAAATAGAATACATACTTATTAGAGAACAATCCGACTTGGAACACAGACTTGGTCTGCGATCGGCAGGAGAGGGCGTTGAACATGTCGAACAGAACGAAGCACGTGAACGTCATGGTGGTGTCACGAGGTGTGATGGTGTTGTCTGACATCTAAACCATACGTTATATTGAAAATGTCGAACGTCTTTTACATTCATAAATTTTAATTAGGACCTTCTTTGTTTAACTGTATTAAACTTTATTGAAAAGTTTAAATAAGTCTATTCTGTCATAAGTTCAATTGGTTACTTGACGGTTGTAAAAATAAAATATTCAATATGAATAGTATTTTTTTTTTTTTTTTTAAATAAATTGTAAGTATAAATGAAACAACTTTGAAACGTTTTCATTTATTGATAGTGCGCATGAAAATATAAGAAATCAATAAATTGAAAGTATATTTAATTTTGGCAAATTTAACTTTCGATTTATAAACTTTGTATAACATAACCATAACGCGGGCAGTAATGAGCGGTCGGAGCATAGCATGACGTCACACTTCAATAAACTAAGCGTCAACTTCTTTGTAGTGGATGCAAACAGTACTCAAGTTTATTGAAATGTGACGTCACGGCTCGAAATGTCACTTGAACGGATGTTTTCACGACTCTGTTTGGAGTTATACTTGAAAGTGTTTAATTAAAAAAATCCATAAAGCTAATATTTCGAAAAAATATACACGTTTTCTTGTCTTCAAATCAAAATTTTAACTTTTTTATACTGGCGAAAACGCTGTTCGAGGTATTCTTGAAGTCATTTAGATATGTACAGAGAGATTAAAATTTATCAATAAAACAAGAACTGTGCCATCTGTACGGTTTAACTGCATATTAAAGTTTAATGTGCTTAATAAATAAATAAACAAACACCTAACTTTATAATAAAATGTATATTATTACTTAAGTGTCGAAGTATCTGTATAAATAAAAACATCGAATAAACTGATAAATCTGAACTATAGATTTAAGACCTAATTTAACTTACAACTAACTTCAATAACAACTTATAGGTATATTATAAACGTATGGTGTGCAGTGTTAGCGTGATTATCTAAGCGTAGCATCGACCACTATATAACGATCGATTACGTAATAAAAAGATATAAATAAGCTAAGGACAGCGCTATAACTATTCTGACAGCTGTCGCGACAGTGACGTCAAACAATGGCGTGTCGTGATTCAAGTCACGTGACACCCCGACAAAAAATCTCGAATTTAAATTTTAAGATAATTGTGCGAATTTAAGACTCATAATCAGAATCTCCATGTTTATATTTTTCAGTTGAGAAAAAAACAAATAATTTATACTCATTGTACTCATAAATATATTTTCTTTCTTCTTCTTTCATTTTCTTTCATTGTGACGTGACTGTAAACAGCGCGTGACGGCAAGAACCTAATGCATACCTATAACGATATGACTTTTAGATGAGCGTGACGTCATAGCGACGCCATGACAGTAGATGACGTTTTCGCTTCGGGAAATTCAAAAATGAAATTTATTTTTAGATTTTAACTTATTATATGAATGATACGTTTTATACATATATTTTATAGTTATATTTAATGTATATAAATAAAACTAAAATTGTAAAAAATCATGTACACCTCTATTCATACGAGTTGACTGACCTCTCTGTTGAACACCCACAGTGTGCCAGCTATGATTATGGCGGCTGCGAGTAGCACGTTGAGGAGGAGTCCACGTGAGATGATGCGGCGGGTGGTGTCTCGTGGCCTCCGCCTCACCACCTCGTGGTCTACTGGCTCCACTCCGAGAGACTGTGCCGGAGGACCTAAGCAAATATCCCGTCAATCGATAGTTTTTCTATTTTAATGGGGTAGTTTTGGTAGTGAAAAATAAGTTATGAAATTGCAAAAATCTATAATTTACAACGTAATAAACATAAGAGATTCTGATTTTGTATCTGGAAATCGCACGATTATCTTAAAATTAAAAGTCGTGATTTGTTGTCTTGTTGTTTAGAATATTGCCATTTTCTACTTATGGGGCATTCAAGCACTACGTAAAGAGATTTGGGGGAGGGGGATCTTGTAAAGCGCCAGTAGGTTTGGTCACTTGAGTGTTACGTAATGTTTATGGAGAAACCGTTACAGTTGATCAGAAAAACATTACAGTTGATAAAAAATCTTCATAAATTGCGTTACGTAATACTTGTACGGCATCTTATGTTTACATAATTAAATATAGCTTTATCGAATTGTCTGGATCATAATAATTTTCAGATCATAACTAAAACAAGGGCATTTAAATTTCTATCTAGAAACTTAACACATATTTAAGACAGCACATAATACCGAAATGCGAAGTTAAGTATCAATTAAGAAATAACTAAGGTACCAAAACCACCGGCCAGGAAATTTCTTCTAATTATTATTTATAGAGTAGCTCGGTGGCGTAGTGGATAAGCGCCGCGGCCCGCGATCGTAGTCGTTAAGCAACTTTCGCAAGGGTCAGTCACGGGATGGGTGACCAAAAAATTATTATCTCGAGCTACTCCGTGCTTCGGAAGGCACGTTAAGCCGTTGGTCCCGGCTGCATTTGCAGTCGTTAATACCCTACAATCCGCATTGGGCCAGCGTGGAGGGTCATGGCCCATCCTCCTTAACCATCCATAAGGAAGGCCTGAGCCCATGCAGTGGGGACGTAAAAGGCCTGGTGATGTGATTATTTATAAATCTCACCGTCCATGATAATGTTGATCCATAGTATCTGCATGGCGTTAAGTGGATTAGGTATTCCCATTAGCGTGGCGAGAGCGATAAGGGATAACGCAGCGATCGAAGTGGACAGTTGGAACCTCACGAAGTTGCGAATGTTGTAGAATATACATTTGCCCTCTTCTATCGCCGCACTGCAATAATAAGAATAAAATTTTCACGTGTTCAATTCATTTGAATCAAGTTCACGTGACGCACGAAAAGGGTATTCATTTATCAAATAGAAGAAAGCGATTCAATTCGATATGTCGTATTAAAACATTGCTAAGCATATGGGCATGCACGAGCAGGTAACCTATGTAACATTGATTGTTTTGTCACTTCACATTAAGTCTTACTAAACGTACTAAAGAAAAAAAAAACAATGGAAATAATGCAAAAGTTGTATTTATAAGTAATAGCAGTAACGTCGCGTTCGCCTTGCATTTGACAAATTGGCAATGTAGCGGCTATCACATTATTATCTGATAGCTTGGTAGATGGCGCTGGACATGGCAAAAACTTGCAACCCTTTTACCTAATAGTAACAACATCTCTGCTACTAAGAGGAAACTAGAAATATCACCCAAAAGTTATTGAGAGTAAGGCGATGTCAAAACTAATGTATGGAGTTAGCAATCTATGTTTACTTATTTATCTATAAATAAAACTTATCAGGTATGTATTTAATAAAGATACAAACTAGCAATAAATAGACAGATAATAAAACTCACATAATAGTAGCAAAATCATCATCGACTAATATCATATCGGAGGCTTCCTTACAGACATCAGTTCCGTTACGGCCCATCGCTATACCGATATCAGCCCTTTTTAGAGCCACGCCATCGTTTACACCATCACCTGTAAGCATTTATTATTTATAACCATATTATTGGAGACTGGCTAGAAAATTAACCAAAGATTTATAATTATTTTTGTACATTTCTTCTACTACGATGTTCTCCTTTAGAGTCTGTTATTGTTCACAAGATGTATTTATTATATTAGCCTTTTTCTATTTGTTCTTATAGTTGCATTGTACTTCGTTTTAAATTTATACTCATTCTCACTCTAGTTGCGTGTCATGATTAGGTAAAAAATTATTTCTTTATGTGACAAACGTGCCACGGGGACAATATATATATTGAAAATTAAATATCTTAAAACATATTGATCAAAGTAGTAAAATGAAACGAATTATTCCAATATCGCTATGATGCCGTATTCTGTTTAAAGTCGTAACTAAAGAGTTAGGACTATGACTTTGATGTCTTATCAAAAATTGTACTTTAAATTTTCAATTCATACATGTTTGATAAATTTATGAAATTAATTCAGTATGTCCATACCTGTCATACCGACTATGTTTCCGAGCCTTTGCAGTGACTTTACTATTGACAGCTTATGTTTCGGAGTTACTCGATAAAATACGCTCACCTGATAAAATAAAAATTATATTAATTTAATTAATCAAGTTTTTAGCGGGATAACAAAAGTAAAAAAAGAAACAGTTAATTCTTACTGTATCAATGATCCTGTCGAGTTCATCTTCTGACATAGTGTCCAATTGATCACCACTAAGCGACTGTGAATGCAGAACATCGAGACCAACCATTTGTGCTGCAAAGCAAAAAACAAATAAATGACAATAAATATTTGTGCTGTCTGTCTGTTGTCAGAAATGTTTAGTGTTTTGTAAAAGGAAAAGCGTGAATTGTTCAAATTATTGAATAAAAAACAAATTCATTAACATTATATTTATGGTGTCTTAGTCCTGCTGTAAGAGTGTGTGGACGCGCATGAGTGTTAATGTATGTTGCGTGCACTGCAGAGATCCCTATGTAATTCCATCTAAAGTGAATGTCCCAGCAAAGGGGGCATTAATAGGCTGATCATGTATATGTATTTAGGTGTGTGTGTGTTTTAGTGTGTTGTGGTTGTATGCGTCTCTGTTCGGGTGAGTGTATGCGTGTTTGCTTGCGTGCGTGCGTGCGTACGTGTACTGCTATTATCATCCTTATATATTTCATTCTCTATATTTGATTTCCATTTACAGAGAAGGCATACGCTCCAGCAGTGAGATTAATAAGATAATGATTAATATGTACGTGTGTTTGTGTGTACTGAAATTATCCCTTTATAATTCCATCTATAGAGGAAGACGAGAAATTTTGAAAATAAAATTTATTTTTAGAAATTAACTTATTATATGAATAACGAATACTTTAAAAATATGTTTTTAGATATACTTCATGTATACATATCTATAAAATAAAAATATTAAAAAAAGTTGTCTACACCCTTATTAATAGAACGCGTCGTGGCTTTTCTTCATTACTACAACGCGTTGAGGTCGCATAGCGTGTCAGCCACGACACGGATTTCGCGTCGTGAGCGTTTGCATAAAAGCCATAACACGCATTACTCTATGTGTTTATTTTGCAATGCCTCAACGCGTTGTGAACAATTTTTTCGCGATTTCGATCTTTAAGTATATCATACATAATGTGTGTATGTACACATACATACAGTATTTGTGTTTTGTGTACTGTTGTTATCTATAAGAATATTATAATGAAAAAAGATTTTGTTGTTTGTTTGCAGCGAATAGGCTCCGAAACTAATGGACCGAATATTTAAATTCTTTCATCCACGGGAAGCTACTTCATATATGGTGAACATTACTACATAGTATAAAAAATCGCTATATCCCTATGTATGCTTAAAAATCTTTAAAATTACGCAACGGATTTTGGTGCGGTTTTTTTTCATAGATAGGATGATTCAAAAGGAAAGTTTTTATGTATAATACAAGACCACGCGGGCGAATCCGCTGGCGGAAAGCTATTAATAAAGAAATAAAAATGGGAGTCGAAGTTTGTATTGGGAATTAAAACGTTGTCATATTAACCATTGTTTACGAATCAATTTGTCTTTGTAATTATGTCAAAGAGTAAAGTATATCATCATTATATCAGCCGAGAGACGCCCACTGCTGGGCATAGGCCTCCCCAAAGATCACCAACGTGATCGGTCCTGCGCCTCCCGCATCCAGCGTCCAGGTCGCGGGAAGTCGCTGGATGCGGGAGGCGTAAAGTATATATCGACGCTGGAAAGCAAACACGTAGTAACCCGCAAAACCAAAGTTGTTCTTCAGAGCAGAAAAGCTTTTAGTTTGTTATTCCTAATACCTTATTTTTATTCCTTAGTCAATTTATACGGAAATAAGAAATATTTTTTTGGAAAAATATAAAGATTTTCCACTTTAAATATCCATTTTGGTTTTGCAGGTTACTACGTGGTTGCTTTCCAGCATCGATATATGTCATTATATGAAACCTTATCCAAATTTATCAAATTAAATTCTAAGTCTGGATTTGGGTATATTTTGGACTAGTTTTTTACTTTTACCTACGAGGGCCGAAGCCGCTGACGCAAAGCTAGTACGATAAAGTAATTGGAATAGAGAACTGACCGACACACAGAGCGGTGGGCTTGGCATCGCCTGTGAGCATCTTGACGTGCACGCCGCTCCTGCGCAACGTGTGCACCGCGTCGCGTACAGTAGGCCGGGGTGGGTCGCACACGCCGCACGTGCCGGTGAACGTTAGAGATTCCAGACTATCCCCCCTGCACATGCCGATGATGCGGAGACCTGAACGAGCAAATGGTCTGATGGTAAGCGCGGGGAGGCGGGGTAGATTATGGAGTCACAAGAGATTCATACTGCCTGATAGATCTTAAGATATCAAAGTGCAATCTTTTGCCGCTGTGTACATATTATATCCAATTTTGATTGTGATTAAAGATAATGAAAGGTAAGCATAAATAAATTAAAAAAACAATACAAATGAAATTAATTTGTGTGCCAAAAAAATTAAAATAAAAACATTATATTTAAAAACAACCCTTTTTTAAATGCTCTAAAAAGCAATATAACGGCACAACAACAGCCTTTGAAAACAACAGCCTTTAACATCTGGAGATAAAACAAGACCCGTATTTGGATGTTCCTTCTTATGGTTCTGATATAGACAGCCCGGAACAGACAGGTGATGATGACGGAATGACAAAACGTAGCGGCTGCAATACAAACTACTTACCCATTCGGCCAATATTATACGCCTCACTGATGAAATCCGCCTGTTTCTCTTTGGTCATGGGCGCGTAGTTGCCTGCGCTGTCTATGTATTTTGTGCAAAGAGGTAGAACTTTCTCTATTGCTCCTTTTACAAACACTTCTTCTTTGAGTTTCCCGTCACCGAATTTCGGCGCACATTTCACCACCATCATCTTCGTTTCTGAACTGTTGAATAATTTTTATTTTCATTATTTATTTAACCTTAACATTATGTCATTAATATGATATCTAATGAAATTGAGATATTTGGTTACACTCTGAGTGAGTTTACAAAAGCTGCAATATTTTTTTGTACATATTAAATTAATTAAGAACAATATTTCATATATAAAAAAGTAAGGTCTTCAGTTGAGATAAGAAAATATATATTCTTATCTCAACTGACAAAATATGTCAATTTCATTAGATATCATATTAATGACATATATAACGCGCGCAAACGATGCCTCCCTTAACAAGTTTGTGCGTGCGCGTGGAACCATCAGAATTAAAGATGGATAAATAACTTCACCTCTTATATCCTGCCATTATCATTAACCTATCAATGTGCCAACTGCCGTGGCACAGGCCTGCTACAGATGGAAACGAATAAAGAGAATGGGCCCAGAGCAAATTGTTGTTTATGACTGTAGATGCAGCCGAGACCTTAAATTAATGTGCTTTACGAGTTTCTTGTCGGTTATTCTCAGTACAAGGTCTCCCGCCGTAGATTTATGAATAGATGGCTTAGATTCGACATTCACAAGTGACTGGATAAATGGCTTTGAATTTCAATTTCTAAATTGCAGACGAGCTCGAGGCAATAAATCTCTGGTTACCCATACTATGACCGGGCATTATAGCTATTATTTATTATCCATATATTCTAATCAAAATAGAAAATTACGCCAAACACGGCGTAGATAGAGAGCAGCATTAGCACATGTAGTAAAGAAATAAACTTTATCAAACATTTTATCCTTCAAATAATCAGCAATAATACATTATACCTAAATTCATTCTTTTACTCTATTTCACTCTTTGCTCAGTGCTCTGTGAATGACGTTTGATGTTTATAAACTTTATTACTACACCTGCTAGTCCTATAATCTGACAACAGAAAATTGCAGCAATACGTCCTATTTGAATAAAGCAAATTCATTTGCGTAATACCTGAATGGTATCTCGTGTAATCTCGTATACTGATCGCGTATATCTTCTAAGCCGTACTTGTAAGCGCACGCCAGTAGCGCGCCTTCAGTCGGTTGCCCGTACAATGTTTCGTCGCGAATGTACGCGTTGTTGCATAAAACACCCACCTAAAGAACAAAAAATGTATTATCTTTCATCATTTTCATATAAAATTCTTTGCTGGGTAAACAGAGAGATCTGCTAGGCTAATCTGTTATAATAGGGCTTGCGGCTTGATAACGCCTTCATATAAACAAAACTTAATGAACGAAAATGTAGCGAAGAAATATACCCATTCAGCGGTAATTTGATTTGAAATGTAGGTAATAGGAGCTACTTTCTGACGCTATTGTTAAATAAATAAAAAAATGTTCATGTCAACGCTTTTGGAAAACAATAACTATAATATAACACTCTCTGTTGTCTTGTTGTCATACAAATATTGATAACTTATGAATGATCTATTTATTTGATCAACCAATATCTGCTTGTGATACTATTGATAACATTATTTTTCTTTTCGCTCCGCATGCATAATGAACTTACAATATCTATTTATTTATTCATTCCAGACTTATATTGTCAAAATATTATATACATACATACGTAGTAAGCCACATAAATAAAATTTTATACATGAAATAAGCTATATCTATATGTTTATATTATTATAATATTATGCGAACTGTCTTTATTTGCTATTATACTGACTATTAATGTTTGTATTGTTCTATATATATCTATAGTGTGTTGTACAATGAAGTGTAAATAATTAATAAAAAAATGACCTCTAGCATGCTCTGCACACCCATCCTGGCGACGTCCAGGTCGCGGCCCTTGTAAGCTCGCAGCTGCACGTCGCCGCGCGCGTTGTACCCGGTGCCGGTCACCTCGGCTATGTGCCCGCCGGACGTCGATATCGTGGTCACCGTCATTTCGTTCTTAGTTAGAGTACCTGCACAAGTAAATAATAATTTTAATGGACAGTCAACAGACTGATAGAATAGTGCAACTTTCTGCCGCCAGATTGCAGCACCATCACATGCAGTAAACATTTTTTTTATAAGCTACAATTTCATTTAGAGTAATCAGCAAAGAGTAAAGTAATAGTAATCTCACTATTAGGTCTCGTAACTTAATATAAACCATAGACATAGACAACATTACGTGAACTGTCAGTTACGTTTTATTATGACAATTTACTATTATCACAAATTTTATTGAGTCATAATTATTATTTTTGTTGATAAAATATAATGTTTAATACTTATTATCTTATTCTCTACGAAGACAAATCAAAAACACAAATGTTATAAAAAACAGTCCAGTCCATCAATTTTTAATAACGATGGTATTTAATTAATTTGAAATACAAATTGCGTGAAATGAATTTGTTAACAAACGTCACCGTACTCTCATACTATGTAAAGCGGACTATATAGGGATATAATGCGTGGCACACAAGCCGAAGCAAAATGGCGAGTTTTCGCGCAGACAGTCATAGACTATACTAAGTTGCTATGGTTACAGGTCTCTTCACCACCATTGAATCGCTATATTGGTTAACTAACGTGCCGTGAATTATACTAGAGATTTAGCCTTGATCGCATAATTTGATACAAAATATATTTGTTTTCGTTAAAACGGACTGTAAAAGTATAGGTACTATGTTCAAAGTATCCTATTAGTTCAGAAACTACAAAAACCGAAGAGCACGAAAGAGTTAAGTAGTCATGCATTCTTAAAAGGGATGCATTTCATTTAATTGAATGATGCACTTTATCTCTTGCGAATACTAAACATTTCTCAAATAAGTATAAAAATAACTAACCTGTCTTATCGCTACATATAACGTTAACACACCCTAGAGTCTCGACTGTGGGCAATTTTTTGACGATGGCATTTCTTTTAGCCATACGCATAACACCCAACGCCAGTGTCACAGTGACAACAATAGGTAAACCTGAAATTAAACAGACAGAATTAACTACACTTACGTACACAGATAAAAATCAGATTACCACCAAATGTACGTGCAACGTGCCGTAATCACACCACGTCAGTGCGGATTGGTGGGTGTTAGTGACTGTAGTTGCAACCTGCACCGACGGCTTAACGCATCTTCCAAAACGCGGAGGAACTCGAGTTAACAAATCGTCACTCATCCTATGACCAGCACTTGGGAAAATTGCTTAAACTGCGCATCCAATAAGCTAACTAACTACTGGACCATCATGTTCCTCCGTCCGTCTATCAATGTATAAACATTTAAAACGAGGCTGAATAACATCATTCTCTTGAGCTATACCCCTAAAACCTTCCGATATATCGCGAATTTCATCATCGACTACCTCAAAAAATACTTAAATTAGAATAGGACAGACGACATATGTTAAAGCCTGGCAGTTTCATTAGTTCCGTTAAACACATTAAATTGCAATCCGCTGAAATATACGCTAATTGTCATATAAATAAAGTTCAGAATCAGTTGCTTGCGAAATTGGAAGCTATGAATGAAAGATAACAAAAGATTAACCGAAAATAGCTCATCCAGTCCCATCATAGATAACTAATATAAAAATATTTCCACTGCGTTTTTATTGATTTGATTCGAGATTGGATAAGAGATAATTATGATCATCTAATCGCGCCAAGCGCTGATTTGATCGATATAATATATTAATAAAAACCTATTGAAAAATATATTGTATCTCTGATAATATAATGATTTACGTTTGTATAATGTGAATATTGAAATTAGAAAGAAAATAGAATAGAATACTTCAGCCGCTTATTATACGCAAATTGTAATAGTCAATCCAGAGTAGGAGACTTTGTATACTACTATTAAAAAAATATATAAAACTATTTATTAATAGTTATAAACAGCAGAAGTAAAAATATACTGAAATTATTGTAAATTTTCAATTCTATGATTTTCTTGATTTGATAAGCGAACGCAAGAGACAAACGCCTAAAGGTAAATAAACTGTTAAATTTCACGATAAAGACAAGCATTGAAGGAACATTTGTAGATCTCCTTTTTCTTGCATCGCTTATAGGTCGTTAAATTATTATGTCACAAGTGAGCATATATCTAATTGGGACTTTAATGCCCCCTTTTCACTAACCTAGAACAAGACATAGCTAGATATCACTTAATATTAAGAATAGCGTAAACAGATTTGCCGTTTCGCCAAACCTGTAACGTTAGGTAATGCCTTATAAAGCACTTGCTTAGATAGGCAACGCCATGTATTATTCTTATTGTACATCTACTTACCTTCAGGTATCGCGGCGACAGCTAAACTAACTCCAATTGTGAACATATCTTGCACAGCCTTCCCTTGTAGCCAACCTGCCACCATAATGAAACCGATGATGCAGAAGCTGTACATAGACAACTGAGCGCCGAGTGTGTCCATAGATTTCTGTAGTGGGGTCTTGGGGGCTTCTTCTGCTTGCATCATGCGGAAAATGTCGCCAAACTCTGAACGTTCGCCAGTGCTCACCACGATACCCTGTTGAAGATTTACCTGTGTATAATCTATATAAATATTGCTTCTGAATCGAATAGAAAAATATTCCTAATGAAAAATACTTTTACTTTGTCCTTAGCACTCTGAGATGGGACTCGACCCTATCGCAGTACGGGCAACTGCTCTTACCATTGAGCTACCCAGGACCTAACAAGACTTACGAATGTTTCAAGACCTTGTTACTTTCCGCTGTGTATTTTACAGAGTGTATTTTCATCAATGTTCAGGCAATCCACCCAAACAGCCGAAAGAAATATTTAATTACAAATATTTAAACTTTTCGATAAAGATGAAAATTTGTTTTGATTAAGAATGTTTTTCAATAAATCATTGCGAATGCAAAATTGATCAAATATGATAAATATACGTAATTACTATAATTTTTTATATTTTCCTAGTTAAAAATATAAAATCGACAAGATTTTATATAAAATCATAAACTTCTCAGCAAACCTTTAAAATGAGAGTGGTACTCATGTTATAAGAGTGCTTTAAGATAAGTTAGTCCGCCATATAGAATTCGAATGAAGTATTTTGTTTTTATTGTATTTTTTTGACAAACCCTTTTACTTGTTGCCCAGATCGTAACTGTGCACCAAAATCAAATAACTATGCCATCTTAGGCAAATTTGGATTTTATTGTATTTTCAATCTGCAAGGTTGAAAATTTCTTTTTTTCTGTTGAAATATTGTATGATATGAGAAAATTACAATTTAAATCGTTTCATACCTTCGCATTGCCACATCTCACTAGGGTGCCCATAAATGCAATGTTATCCTTATTAACACGACCAGCGGCAGCTTTACTCGGTAAAACGTTCTTCACAGCCGGTTCAGTTTCGCCGGTGAAAGAAGACTCGTCTATGGCTAGGTCGGTAGATTCGTACAGTCGCAAGTCTGCGGGCACCCTGTCGCCGACATTGAGATGCACTATGTCGCCGGGTACCAGGTTGCGGGCTAGGAAGTGCTCTAGACTGCCTTCGCGTAAACTGTAATATGATAAATAGGATCTTCTTTAACAAATTTGTTTTTTTTAACAAGTTTTTGAGTACTGCAAATTGGCTTCAAACTATGTAAAAAGGAAATCTTAAAATATTAATTTAAAAAAAAATAGAAGGTGTACCGGAATAATTGTGGTACCTATCAAATTAGACCTTCTACAGAAGTGAATAGAGTTTACCAGTTGCATGTTGGCGGCACAAGCTTATTCAGCTCCTCAAGCGACTTCTCAGATCGGTACTCCTGCACGAATGCTACTGTCACCACTATGATAATGGCGACGGTTATTGAAATGGCGTCGTCGAACTGTCGCATGCACACGCTCACCACAGCTGAGCCTGTGTACAAAATAACATGTTATTAAAACAACATATTTCAATATTATTGAGACAACACGTTAAATTTCCATCGATTATTATTACAACCGATTATGTTAAACCTATTCACTGTTATTAATAAACTAGCACATTGCAATATTAGCGTAACAATTTACGCTAAAAATTTCAATTTTAGTATTAGTCCAAATTCATATTATACAGAGAATAAGCAAACTTATCTTCTAGGAGTAAATACTACTCCCGTAGAACCTCGTACTAGGTTAATCATTATGAGGTTTCTGTTTAATAATATGAATTTTGACTAATACTAAGTGCTGTCTCAGCGTAAATGTACTCCAACGCTAAGCCTTGTTTACTTATAACACTGATTATGTACAGAATAGACCTTAATAGAAGATTAAAGAACTTCAGAAATTATTATTAGAAAATAAATTTGCAACAATCTCGACCACAAATAATAAATAGAAGCTGTTTCTCTACATTTACGATATCGAGATTGAACCTAAGACTTCAAATGACGACCATAACAAGAAACTATCACCTGAATAAACGAAAAAAAAAAGAGACGGCGATCATTATGTCTTGTCAAAGTCCAATATTTCTCCTTCTACTCTAGTCGAATTCGGTATTCTTTATTAATATTTCAAGGTGAATATGCACATAAATCATATTTGCACAACGAATAATTGTTCATATTATTAGATCAGGTGCAAGTTTAAACCATAAAACCTAAGCTAAGTTCACACTTGTTATGACATTGCCACCGCATCGGACACGGTGATGACGGTAATATACATTCATTACACGAGGCAAACCAACAAATATTGCCTTGTAAACGCCACATTCAAGGCAGCATTTAGTCGACCCTCACTATGCACATTTGAGTGATATAACAGGAATCTATCTATATTTACTGCATGTTCTAAATCCCTATTCGCATCTCTCATTGCCTGTTAGGTTTTAATAACACATAAAGTACTTATAAGGCATCGAGTCAACTCAGATTACGTCAGTCATCTTTTACGAATTTCGCAGATTTTGTATCACATATTATCAGTTTACACACTAGTACACTAACTACCACCAACCAACCTAACACCTAACACAGATCAAAATTACAGATTGTTTACGTAACAATTCCGCGTCTGTTGAACATTAACAGAAACCAAAAGGCCAGTTGATTTTAAACTAGTAGTCTTATTCCACAAATAACTTTATAAAAAAACATATCTGTTATAAATGTGTTATTTTCAAAGATATAGTTTAAAGCTAATTAAACCAAAAAAAACCGTACTTTATTAAATTTGATTATTACTGATTTATTGAACCTACTACTATTAAACCTTCATACTAAACGTAAACTCATATTAAACGTCTAGAGCAATTGACTCAATCCAATACAAATCGTAGCCAATCGAGCTAGAAGATAATCCTGCAAATCGCGTATGATTGTTATATGTTTTATTATTTGTTATCTCGTGACCAGTATGATGAAAAGCTTCAGAAGGCTACCGCTGGATCCAGCACTGACACGTGATGTCTCCGAATTCAAGAACTTCATTTTTGATGCACTGCAGGCAATAAACCTACAACTTCAGCTGCTTGCTGTAAGCCTTGATCGGCATGAAAGATGTTCAAAATGAGTTCAATATTGAGGGACTAATGGTTTGTCACAGACTTGGCTCTCCTTCCAAAACACATCCCATTCTACTTCGCTTTAATGAGTATGAACGTCGTCACCTCATATAGGAAAGTAAGTCCGCTTTGAAGCTTTCCGGAGTAACAATTTCAGAATTTCTAACAAGAAATCTGTACCGTGTTTTTACAGCTACTCCTATGAGTAGCTGTAAAAACACGGTACATGCCTATGCATTTTGGAATAAAAAATTGCTGGTCATCTGATAGTAAGATCATCGTTTGCCTACCTGACAAAAGTAAGAGACGAATTGAAATCGAATCAGAGTTACAATCACTCATAAATTATTTCCATCAAGCCACTGCGACAACACCTCTGAAGCAAACCCGATAAAGGTTCAAGAGTCACCCACCCGAAGTAATCGATTTTCTCTGGGAAATTTTAAATACAAAGCCGGTATACTTTTAGTAAAAACCATACTATATTTTACTGAATGAAAATATTACATTATATATCTGCTGTATACAAAACACCTATGTTATGGGTTATTAAATGTAATGACGCACAATTTTACGTGATTCTACTATGATAAATGCTACCAAGGTTTTTCTCGTCATGATAAGGCTTGTGTAATATAAGTATAATAATGAATACAACAAGCAGACTTTTATAGACTGATGGCAAAATGACAACTAAAAAAATATTCTCTCATTCCCACTGCTGGGCATATTCCTTCCCTATCATGGCTTAAATAGGTTGGAACGGGCAGTCACTAGAACGATAAGCCCAAACACCTTTGAAATTCTGTGGTATTTAATTCTGTGTTTTCACTAATCTTAAGAGTCGGTCAATTCTAATACCTAAATATTTGGACATTGTCCAAGTTGAAAATGCATTTCACCGATGACAAGGAGCCTAAAGTTAAGTCCTAACTTATGTGCGGCGCCTAGTGTTCGGCATTTGCCTAATGTGATATATTCATTAACTCTTTGGCCATAACAGATGTGCCATACATTAAAAAAGAAGAATTGAAGCATGCAAAATCAGACAGTCGTTGCCTATATAAGCAAGTGCTTAGAAAGGCATTACCTAACGTTAAACGTTTGGTGAAACGACAAGTCTGCCTTAACTATTCTTTTTTTTAATTAAGAATTTTTTAATATTTGTATAACAACATTTACAATCTACAAAATTCAGACTAGTTAAAGTAATTGTGCCTACTCTTAGATTACGCATATACTTTGGTAAACTTCTAAGATGAACACTAATTAATTTAAATAAAAAATAATAAAAAGTAATGAGGGTTATATTTTTTAATCAAACATTTTACTTGGAAAAAGGTTTTGGAGTCTGTGTTATCCATAATTTTTATTGCCGTGATAAAGATAACTTTGATTATTTGTGCAAAGAATTTTGTGAGAGAAGTTTGAAACTTCTATGAAAATAAAATAATATTTTGGGTTCAGAAAATTCATATAGGTTAATAAGAAAAGATAGATATCCATTTATCGATTTGGGTAATTTTGGTTCTATAATCTGGTTAACCATCTAGTATGATGGAAAGTAGTCTATATGTTAATCAAGGCTGAGAATTATCTGTATATCCAATTTTATCAAAATCAGTTCAGTAGTTTCTGCTACTTCGCCTTTATAATATCAGTAAGAAGTAAGACACAGACGTTTATCTATTCCGTTTTTATTACAAACATTTTTACTAGCAATCTGTTTTATTTTGATGATTCGTTATAATTTAGATTTCAACTTTTATGTCAGTCGTTTGCATGTCGTTGAGCAGAGATCATCATAAAATAAAAATATAAAGTACACCTCTGTTTACCAAAATTTCCTCAATTGAGTATGCATTCTACTTACAATGCGTTAAGGTTTAAAATCAACCTGAGATATATAGTTTTGTATGACTTGTTGACTGTCCAAAAATTATACATAAAAAGATGAAACGAACATTATAAGAATAATTCTACTCGTATCTGTTACGCTTTCACGCGGAAAGTGCTAAGTCAGATTTGATACAAACAGTTTCAGAATTGCAGGTGGAAAGTATATTTTCCAAAATATCAATAGTCAACATAACGATAATAACTATTTGCATTATAGAAAAATGCTTTAAAAATTCACTAAATTCAATTGACAGAGTTAGGGTTTCTAGCAGGCCGATTCTGTAAAAAATCCGTCCGAATCCACGTCATTTATAGAAGAAATTCTATTGCTTCCAAAAAATTGATTGGTCATACGTATCTCAGATATTCTACTCCTATATCATTTCGAAATAGGCTATAATTTAAGGTGAAGTAGCAGGAAAGCAACTAGATATTCCATAAGATAATTAGCGATTTAGCATTGTGAATGCAAGTAAGAGGTACAAGCTATTAGTTTCGGTCACTATTTTTTTCATTATTTATATTTTTTTATAAGTACCTATTTACTTCTAAAATAAATCTCATAAGTACGTCGTCAACGTTCTAAAACGAGTACGCAAATGCATACGTTACTTCTTTCTTGCTAAGCAGTCCATGTTTGTCAATTTTTTGCCACCAACGTGTGGTTATCGAACTGTAACCTTGCCAAAACCGGTACCGTGTATCAAGTGCAAGCGACAATGACCGGACAAAAAAAACACGCACGATCATAAGATATTAAACTATGCACCTATTTATAATACTCGTTTTTTTGTGCCTTATATTTAGACAGATGTGGCGCCATTTTATGGTTATTAATTACAGACTGTTTTAAATTTGCAAAGAATAAGAGATAAAAAACTAATAAATAATATACAGAATTATAACCAACAAGAGTACGCTTAGTGCAGTGGAAAATTTTCTGAATACAGAAAACCAACAAATTCGTTGGAAAACAAAGTGTCATGGAAGTAAAAAAATAATCAAAAAATAATACGGGCCGTGTTCCGCGATTTTAAGCGAGGTGATAAAATAAAATTTAAACACCAAGATATTGATGAAAACAAAATACTAGTGATCAAAAGACGGCTTTATAAATTTGTGACGGGTTCGGTGCTTGGGTCAATTAATAAGACTGACTAGCTTAAGTATGAATTGTATAAAGAGTAAAATAAAGAAACTGTAACAAACAAAAAATGAATATAAAAACAGTTCGTATCTTACATAAATATAAAATGAAGAAATTACCAAATAAACGAATACATACCCTTTTATGGGTTTCTTGTCAAAAACTTCTATCGTCAAAGTTACAGATTACAATTCACTATGGTATATAATTTCTATCACAATGTCTCATTAAATCGTTGTCAACATTAAAGACATCAACATGATATTAAAATTTATACGATTTAATACGATAATATGTAGATTTAGATGTTATTCGCAGATGATTTTTTTACGAACTGACATCCATAAAGAGTATATTTGATTAGTGAAAATTTTAAATTAAGAAAGATGAATAATAAAAAGAAATGATGTTGAATATTAAAAGACAAAAAGTTTACATACTGAAATCTAGGGAAATAAACGGCACACCATTAGGTACAAATTACGACAGAGAAGGATAACATACATCATTCACCTGCTACTTTCCCAATTTTATTTGGGTCCAGCGCAATGACTTTACTTCTGGCTTCTCTGATAGCCGTTAGCTAAACACACACCTTTTCTCTAAATGTATTTATTATTCATAAAAATAAATACGCATATTATCTTTTACACAGTATTTCTTTTTTGTCGGATTTCTTCCTATTGTCTCCATTCAAATACATATTTGTCAGTTCTGACGTTCCACGACCGATACGATGCGATGTCTATTCACCTAGATATGCACCAACCCGTAATTCAACTCAACAATATTTTTTTATAATTTTTCTTGTTTGTAAATATAATACTTCATCTCAGATGTCTGATGTCAGAATCACCAACAGATAATGACGTCAGTAAATATCTCTTGGTTCTATTATCCGACCGAACACAATGGAAACCCCATAATTGTGTTACACGCAAAGTCCAGTAATTTATATCAAGAATTATCCATAGACCTACTACGTACGGTTATAAGTTTCGATCGGTGAATGACTGAATAATTGATTGTGGGTCAACGCATATTTAATGGAATCTGGGATTTTACCATGTATATAAGCTAATATCATTTCGTATTAAAGTGAATCATTCATCATACATTAATCAGTGCCACTGTCCAGCTGGTTTACTTTCCTAAAGAGTTAAACTTCACACAAGTGTCATTGAATTTAAATTTAATGGACTTAACGTTGAATTAACATTAAGTTGGACTTCTGCGTAAAATTCTGTCTGGCCTGTAATTGTTCATTAACATCTGGCTCAAATTTTTTTTTTACCTCTTGATGCTCTGACAGTGTAATACAATACTAGTTTAAACGTATAAACTTTGGTTTGATACGATGGGCAACCAAATAAAAAAGGATTTCAAACATTAAAATCAACGCAAATCAGTTCTTTCACAAAAAATGAAGAAAACAGGATTAAGGGATTTAAAGAAATTTAAAAAAAAATCTATAGTAATATTATTATCTATACTAATATTATGCAAAGTTAAAATTAACTTTGTTTGTTTGTAGGGTAATCTTCGGAAATACTGATCCTGTCATGATAATTCTTTTATCAATGGGAAGCTACATCATACGCGGGTGACATAGGGTCGAATGTTCTCAAGCTAAGTAGTTAGAAACGAGCTCGTTTTTTCTAGAGATTACTTATTTTATGAATAATGTGTTTATCAAAATCAAAGATAATGCATTAAGATTTTTATCTGTTGGTATGTGTTATTTTTCGTGCTAATGCGTTATTTGCGTGTCGTTTTCGATCTACATAATATTATGTATTTGCTCATTCATCAATCTGAAATCACCCAATACTGAGTGTAAATCTCTTCAATGCTTGATGTTGGTTGCCCGTTGCATCCAATTTATTCCCCCACTTTAATTAGATCATCTGGGTCATCCTGTACGTTGCCAGTAAGGTTTCAATTACTTTTATCATGGATTTTTCTGTAAATTATACATGATATAGGATGAAAATATTTTTTCTATGTATAAATTAGAATCTAGCGTTTCTAGAGCTGTTTTTAAAGATGGTTAAGTATCCACAACTTAACTACGGTTCTTTACAGTATCACATATACAGTATTAACCTTCAGGGTATATCGTACAGACACTTCAACTAGATGGCCCTACGAAAGAAGATCAGATTTTTCCATCATAATATATGTTTTTACACCTAACTTCAAACACTACTTGTTCATACAGCAGTAGTGAGATGACAATGTCTGATTTTTGTGTTCCTTTATTATAAATCGTAGAAAACAAATCCATGAGGAGAATTCAAGATGTTAACACATAAACATATATTCGCAAATACGCGTAAGTGAATGTTTTAAAAATATCCACACGACCTTTTTAATGTGTCCGATCTCTTAAATTAATGTCTACACAAACTAAACTACACTTTATCGATAGTAATTAGGGCCTACGTTAGACTAAATCTAGATATATTATTCTACTCTTTAATACTGGCACAGGCGTGATAATAATAACAGACGTACAAGTTCTGTTTTTAATCTGACATACGTCGTCGTATAGTTGTATATTATTGATAGGTACGAAATACGCCAGTAATACCAAGTGCTTTTTATGGTCACCAAGTAGTATAAATTGCTATGTTAGGATTTTAAACTACGGCAACCGAGGCACTTTCGTGATACTATATCATGGAGTTTTTGTCAAAAATTGATACATATTTACGAAAAGAAAATAAGATACAGTTATCATAATTACCGTAATTGTTCTTCAAATACATAGAAAAGACACGTAGAGTGAAACCACGAAATACATAGAAAAGATACTCAAGAGAAAAACCAAAAAAACAACGCTGTCGAAGTCGCTGGCGGAAAGCTACATAAATATTCATATATTTTTGTTATCTCACCAAGCAGCAGCAGTATGAGTGGGTTCTGAAACTGCTCGATGTACTTCTTCCATAGGGGGTCTTCTTCCTTCACCTGGAACTCGTTGGGGCCGACAAAGTTGATACGGTCGTTGGCTTCGCGCCATGACAGCCCGCGTCGTACATCCACCTTCAGCCGGTCGGCCACCTGACGACGGAGATAAATATGACTATGGCAACCACTTTATTATACAATACACAATTAGTGGCACTATTAGAAAACTAATAGAATATTATACAACTGTAATTGAATTAACCTATAATGTGATATATAATGATCTTGCGGATCTATGAAAGTTAAAGATACTGTATAAGGTGAATAACAGCGCCCTGATGTAATTCTACGCGGTAAATCCGCAGATCTTGAAGGTTTCATATGTATCTATAAAACTATATATTTAGATTGAGACCGCACTACGTTTAAGCGTTCGTGGTTTAGGAATAGCCGAACGTGTTAATTCATTGCGGCTCGCATATCCAGTTACCAATTGCCTCCAATTTCTGTGTCTATCACATACTATCTTTCTAGCTTTACTCTAGGCGATAAATAACTGCTAGATGTAGCTCAACGCTTTTATAAGCAGGCTATGTGTTCCAGAAACTCAAAGTTTCAGTCTTGCTACTCATGCGAATTAACGTAGCACCTGAAGGCCTATTTCTTAATAAAATTAAATGCAAATATGTCTCCAAAGAAACGCATTTTTGGATAAATTATGATGCAACGGAAATAGGACCTGATACTGATACCGAATATTCACTTCACATATACAATTTTACCAAATTATAAGAACTATGACAAATAGAATAGACCCTTAGGTGCCTCATTCATTCGTCTCAGCCCTAATCCTTTTAGATAAATTGTATCTGCAATCTGTTCGCTGCCCTTGGTTAATTGTTACTCTTCACGTGTTTCACCCTTACGCCTCGCAATGTCAATCGCCGAAGGTTCGTATTGTCTAATATCTCTCTTAATGATGCTTGATGGAGGATCATTATAGAGCACAGCAAAACATATATAGACTGATAGTTGACGATGGTTGCAAAACTATAACCATAATGTCCCCGCTCCTTGGGAAAAGGCCTTCTTTCGTAGAGACAGAGAACATGACCCTTATCGGAGGGCTCGATGCTATCGGCAGCTACTCACGACTGTAGATGGAACCGGGACCAATGCTGACATCCTAGCGATAAGTGAAAAACTCGAAATTTTAGGCAAACTGATCGCGATCAGAAAAATAAGCTCTATATTTTCATTTTACGTGTTTTTTGTGTATTAACAGTAGTTGTCATTGTTTCAATATGATTATGCTTTTGATTGTCAAAGATACAAACAAAACGAAAATTAATCTTCTATTGCGATCACCTTAAAATTAGCCTAAACCAAGCAATTGCTCTCTTCATAAGAACGGCAAAATAGCTTAACGTTCTTGCTTTGAAAAGCACGAATAATATTAGTCAAGATATTAAATTTCTGGTTATCTAATCATTGATTTTAAGCTGCTGAATATATGATATAAATTATACTGTGATGCCCATCAGAAAAGTATATGGATGCTGAAGGCACTAATTGTTTATTATTTTCTTAATCCAAATAGCACAAATAAAAATACATATTATAATTGTTTGCTAGCTACTAAACGGTTTGCTGTAAATATGCTTTTTAATTTATTAAAATGTATGAAATATGTTGTATGGTCACGTATTATATATCCACAACCTAAATAATACTTGACTTTACATATTTCGTTTTTCGTAACGTTTGATGTCACCTACGATACATCAAACGTTTTAGATTATGAAGGATGGCTGTATCAGATACAATGCAATACATTAAATCTAAGAGATTAGAAAAAAAAAATCTTGAATTCTTAAAAAAAAAATACCAGTCCCAAGTGCCGGGCGTGGGATGGTGAATCCATAACCTATCGCATTTTGGGCGACTGCTCTTACCACTAACTACTGCTATTTATGTAGATGTATTGACCGAACATTGATGAGAATATGCTCACTAATAGCGAAAGTAACAAGTGCTTGAAAAATTCATCAGTCTCGTTAGGTCTCACGTTGTTGGGTTGGATCCGGCGATCTGCATTCCGGGATCCAGCAAGGATCCGAATCTTTGCCCCCCCCTGAGGGGATCCCGCGGGATTTACCAGATACTAGTCAAACACGCTTCAATTTGTCCTTCTTAGGACAGGGTAGGACGGAAGCTTAAGGTGCATATTACTTGCGCTACCAAAGGTAGCTCAAGCAGTTAAAGCAGTCGTGTGAAATGTTATGGGTCCAAATCCCATCTTGGCAACTGCGGCTTTGCCACGTGACTGAAGCCTAAGATTGATTAGTCGACGGTCAGCAGACAATCAGGATTGGTCAATCATTGGACAGATCAATCCTGTTTGATCTGCTGACAGAGTGATTTAGTTACGCAGTAGAGAAGCTGGGACGGGGGATTTCTTAAGCATTTAAAGTAAAATATATATATAGCATTATGAATTCAAAAGCGGATCAAATAAAATACTTGTACCATAGATATTATATTACTATACTAGTCGTAAAAGTCTCATAAAAGCATTTTTATTGCCGACCCTGGTGCTATTTTTATTGCTGTTTATAGATCATTAATAAAGTTTATACTTTAGAAATCGAAATTGCTTTCTATCGATATCTTTACATAGTTTCAATACACAGCAATTTCTGTCTAAATTATCAATATACTGACACCATAAAAAGGAAAAATTCAATTGTTTGTTTGCATTGAAGAAGTGCCGTGACCGTTTTTATTTAATTCTTTCACCTAAGCTACATCATAAGTGGGTGACATAAGGTATGTGAGCGAAGTCTCAGGAAAACAACTAGTAATAAATAAAAATTAGGCAAAAGTAATATAAAGTTAAACGCCTCAATCAACATATTTTCCATGTCAATTGTTGTAGCTCTAGAAGGTTCTAGGTCTCCCAGCGTGCAATAGAAAGAGCAATACTAATCTACGTGACCGAATGCGGAATAAAAGAATACGTAACAGAACTCATAATAGAACGAAGTAATCAAACTGGGCTGAAGTTTCAAAAGTAGTTTCGGAGGCGAGTCCTGGTAAGTGACTACGTTATTTCGCCAAAATAATGCAATAATACATTTTCCTTCTTAAAAAAAGACCGCCTCTCGACAACGGCTCAAACGGGTAGCCTCGCAAAGTGGCTACATACCTTATGAAGTCACTAGATTTCGGTTGTTACAATCTTCTTAAAGAATATCAAATCTCTCTTACCTCCTCCCAGGTAAGGATAGAACTCTCGACGGCGCTGATCCACATGTCACCGGCGCCTGCGTTATTACTGCGCCGCCCCCCACCGCCCTCTTCCGGAGTCGAATGCTGAAAGAAAGGGTGATAAGTTAGCTATTTTTACAAGAAATACCAAATTGAACACGAATTATGTTCACATTCTAAACAAGCATTACGTGAAAACAGAAAATATATAAATAGTTAGTTCGATAACAAAATCACCAAAATATGCTTAATATAAATCAAACACATAACATTAAAACATACTTGATGAATAATACTAAAATTGACAGCTAACTATTGAAAATTTATGATCTTATTTTAATATTCATGAATGCCTTTATAAATAACATTAATTTGATCAATTAATTAATATCAGCATTGAGATGAGACCGAATTCTTTTTAATTCAACACATTTAGCGAGACAACGAGACTCTTGTATGCCTTTAGAAATGTTCGAGGAATTATATGAAGCTTTATTTAATTGGTAGCAGATTGGCCAGCTTATCAATGTCCAAATTTTCAACACATTATACGTAGGTAGTTTGAGTTTGTTTCATAACTTTTAGGTATTTTAATTAATATATTAGGTATTTTAATTTGCATGTTGTAAGATACTCAAAACATCGACAGTGAGGTTCTTAAATACTTCATATATAAATCGATCGATCCAATCCAATTAAGTCAATTAGAAGTTTGTAATAAAAATAAAACACAATTGTTAACAAAGCTCATCTAGGTGACTATAATTCTCATGGAGTATCAAGGGGAAATGTTTTATAAACTTGACGCCTTGAAGATTACAACGTGTTCACATATTATGCGCAAACAAATTAGTTCCGTTGGATGCATGTAGGTATTACCTACCTATTGTGAATTCGACACAAAGGGAATTCCTGGGCATAAGAAAAGCATGGTTTTCTACTTAGGTTATAAATGATTGTCAATTTTGCTTCATTACTCATCCTACGAAAACTCAAGGATTTCTGAATGCTTTCCATCTACAAAAAAATAATGAGGTTTTATCAAAAGAAGTGAAGAATGAAATCGATAACAAATAGCAAGTATAATAGTTATTGCTATCTGATCAAAATCATCAACCTATTAACGACTTCACTATATATACCACATAATCTGCTATGGCACGTGGCGCTAACCACTGCTCGAACAAGCTCCTTGATGGCATCTAAATTAGTAGAAATGTCAAGGTTTACTCTAGTATCAACGAAAATAGGAACAATGCAGCGAATCGATCAATAAATAACCCCAGAGCAGCGAGCGTAGCCACAATATAAAACTACTTGCTATATGCACTGCACTTGACCTAGAAAACTAGACTGTCCCTGGCGAAGTCTTAATGTTTTGTTATTCGCTCATCCAGTAGTTATTTTAAAAGCTACAATACTTTTTACAGATGATAAAATAATATGGTCCAAATAACCTTTGTTAAAAAAGCCTTCTTTAAAGTAAAAAAAAAAATGTTATCAGATATAGATCTATCTCTCAATTTATTTAATGGTATAAACAAGCGTATAAAAAAATTACACATACCTAAGATTAATTTACTTAAAAAGAATAGAATGTTATCTCGTTCTCGCGAGATCTTTTTTAGCGAGATTAATCTCGGTCGAAAAATGAGCGAGATCTCGTTCATTTTTCGACCGAGATTAATTCATTAGATACCTTTTTTATTAGATACGGCATACAGCAAGATACGTCAAGATACGGCAAGTTTAGTTTCTTAAAAGATTAGTACCTGGATGTCTTTACCCGGCACTTCTATAAAAAAAGAAACCTTACTTAATCAATTGATCGCCTCTGAAAGCCCCTGCATACTTAATGTCATGAAAATTGTTGGAGCCGTTTCCGAGATTATAATACAGTAATTGCTCTTTTAAAAGTTTCAAATAAAAAAATTATAATTGCGTCAAACAATTTTAAATATATAAAACTTTATTGAAAATACCCATAAAAATAAATATTTATTTCATAATACCTAAATATCTTTTTTTTCTTAATTTATTCAAATATTGTGATTTGAATAAATATTATAGTAAAACAGTAATCCCAAAAAAGTGCCAATTTCACGAGATCCCGAAATTAGCGAGATTGTATTCCCTTTTAAAAAGATAAATATGTTAAAAAAATGTTGTCTAAAACATTACGAGTGTTATTTATAATTAAGGTTTAGCGTTGGAGTAAATTTACGCTAAAATTGCAATTTTAGTATTGGTCCTAATTCATATTATATAGAGAATAAGCAAACTACCTTCTAGGAGTAATCATTGCTCCCGTAGAACTTCGTACTAGGGCCAGTTTTTTGATCCGTGGTTAACTCAACCATTTGTTAAAATCTTCGACAAATGGTTAAATTTAGAAAAATATGTTTTTTGATTAATAATAAGGCTAACCAATTGTCAGAATTCCAACCATTGGTCAAACAATTTTACCATCACTGAAAGCTAGGTTAACCAAATGACCAATGGATGAAAGATATAAGTATGTATATGATCACATTCGCTTTTATGATCATTTTAGACTGAGTCTAAGCGTAGAAAAAAAAACGTACACGAAGCGAGTTCATTCAACCAACAATTAAGAAAGGATTATATTTATCAGATACTATACCCGACCCGAATTGACAATATATCTGAACTAAATAGTTTTTTGACATTATAAAGAAAAAAAAATCAATGAATTAAATTGAATATTGTTAAATTAATAATGTATTAAAATTGTATTTAGATATAATTGACTATAGCTCTTTCAAATTGCTATTTATGCAAGAGCTCTTACTAATTAAATATATACACATGCAAATTTTATTGTATAGATTGTAAAAAGGAGGAAATGTGGCGACAGTGAAACTAAACTAACATGAAAACGAATAACCTGCATTTCACAATAAATAAATTATTATTATTATACCTTTAAACTTGGTCCAGCCATGAGCTTACGTGGAAGGAGTTTACCCGAGTGAATGTCGCTAAATCGTATCCTACAATGTACCCTTTCTTCGTGGATGATAACAGAGATCATGCATTTAGATTTATACTTAGCAACTTTAGGTTCACATTCTAATTCATTTGGTTGCTCTAAATATTATATATTTCTTATTAGGATATCCCCTCTTGCATTTATTTTACATTACAGTGTATCTTTGTTACAGTCCTATTCGATTGTTCTCCTTTTATTCTGACTTAACGTACGAGTTTGTACTCTTGTTCATCTTTCTTAAATATCCATTAAATTTTTGACATAAAACATAGCTTAAGGATTCTGATGTTGAAATAGTTTCAGTGTATAAGCTAAATATTAAATACACGCCTAACAGTTAATTCAATTACGAATATCATATTTACACAGCTAAACAAATGGGTAATATGCTATACATTATGGTGTAGCAATACCTACATTATGGCATGTACAACACAGGTGTAGCAATACATTATGGCATAATGATATTAATTTTTTTTCATAAGAAAAAAGGCAATATGGTTGTAGACAGTAAAAGAAAATAAATATATATAAAAAAAAAATCTGCAAGCGTAAACATACTATTACCGATCATCACACTTTTATGCTAATCTATAATAAATAAAGCTTTATATTTATAATGTTGCTTAAACTAATTATGAAATAAACAAATATTTTATGCTCGTTGTCACGTGACCGCGATGTCGCAGTCAACTGGTGGCGCCCTTCAATTGCACGCCTAGTTTTTTAGTTGAACCGCTCAAAATTTCTGACCTATCGTGAAGTACGGGACCAAAATAACTTCGTTGTTTATTATTTTTTGTAGTCAAACAAGTACATAGCATATGGCCGTCTAAATAGTTATATATGTTGTCTTTCTGTAATTGTATTAGTATTAAGATTTACTGTGAAAGTTTAAGCTTAACCCACTTGCGTTATCGGTGTGTACGTTAGCATCCTGCATTGGAACATACGGAATTACGGACCATTCGCAAAATAAAAATGTTTGTTTCTTTTTGGATAGTCTTGTATCTGTATCGATTACAGATTTGAAAATCAGTATTCCCGATGAATTAACTGACCGTTGCTTAGATGTAGAAAGCCGAGTTCCACAAATCGGCTGATCGCAGGTTGGCCCATTAATTGGTTGGCACCATTTAATTAAACTGTTCAATTCAGAAAATACACTTTTCATGCTTTGATGAATAAGGACATAAATTGGAACCTCTTTTACGATCAGTTGCAGAAACGTCCATTATGGTTTAATGACGCCTTTAAGCTGTAATTAATGTCATACTTGTATGGGTAATGTAGCTTTAAACTAATGACAATTCTAATGCACGTATGTGCAACGGCTGTTAGCCGCAAGGAATTGGATCGTAATAAATGAAAAAAAAACTGTTCAACATATAGACAGGTTGTAGGACCTTAAAATTTCTTTTAAGCTGATAAAAAACGAGTTGTTTTCGTGGACACCTACTTCAAATTGCTTACAGAGTTTTCAGTTTGGGGTAATTGCCGAGGTCTATGGTATATGGTGTATAGTTTATGATGCATCAATCAAGATGGGAAGACAAATCTAGTAAAATCTGGACATTCACATAATGACAAATATGTTTTCATCATCATAATTGCTATCAGCAGCTTTTGGTTTAGAATTCTAGATAGAGCAATAGAACAAAATAAATAATCAGCTGACATATCTGTTTTCTTTGCGCTATAAAAATAGCAAAGACGGTAATAAAAGATTTTTGTTTTCAAAAGACTGTTATTATAATTTTCGTTGAAATATAGTATGGGATTCGAAAGTAAATTATCAGAAAGGTCATTAAAACTCACAAATCTGAGAAGAAACATCGCATGTAGGTGTTAAAATACTTCGTTCCAATCACGCTATGTTTAAAAAATAACACGAACCATGAGAAAATTAAAATAATACAAAAAACTCAAGTACTACAAGTTTGTTTGAAAAAAGAGGCGACCGTTCGCACGCACGTACTTCTTCTAACTGATCGGCAATTACAAATAATTTGTAACAGCATACACGCAATTTATTTATTACCATCAGTCTCGTGTTCTATCAACATTAATTAAATATTTATACAAAATACAAGTTATAATATTAAAATATTAATAACGTAATAACATTGCTTTACTCGTTCTGAAAACATTAAATAAGTTCAGAAAGATTAACATGACTGTTTGTTTTCTTTGCAAATCTTTTGCATTATAAATTTATAAAACTGTGTGATCTAGTGATCTATATGTGTTACTATGGTTATTCAGAAAAAATATGAAAGCTTCCTCTTTTGGTATATTACAGCAGTTTGATCTAATCTTGATCTGGTTGGTAGTACCAGACGCGTAGCTACAACTGTATCAGCCGTATCCGCATATCTGCATAACACGGACACTGATGTTTGTAAGTAAACAAAAAAAAAACTATAAGAAATCAAGTTTATATCTTTACTGAAACATTGTAATATAATCTGATTTATCTCTCCGCTAAGAGTATCTTACACCAATGGAGGTAAACCTACAACTGTATTTATACATTTTCTTTTTGTTTAAGTGTATGTATCTTGCTGTAACTCCTAATTCAATTACGAAGACAAAAGCATATAATAAATCGTTTTTTTTTATTTGTCACCTAATCTGACACATCCTGACGTAATATATGATGATTAAGGGGTAATATTTCTTTACAAATATTATTATATAGTTGTCACTTTGTGTCATAAAAAAATCTAGCAACCATATGAGTCCTAGTTACTTTAGGGTTAAACAGTGCAACAATGCACGGAATAAGCGTCGCGTCTCGGCGATCGTGAGGAGCTTGACGAATATTACCTCAGATTTACACCCATATAAACATTTAAAAGATAGTTGATGCCAATTGCCACAAGGAAATATATATGAATAACTGATAATAGAAATTGATTACTAAGCTCCATATAACGGCGTAACCAAGTGCAATGGTTTTTTTTTAGATAATTTGAAAAAAAAACCATCGTAGTTGGTTGGTACAATTCTCAGTTTTGTTTAAAGATAAGTGCTGATAAGAAATATTAATTGGCAATCGTATTACTGACGTACTTATTGATATAAAGTAAAAACGAACTAGATTATCATTTACTGAGATTTGCTTTTGCAATTAAGAGTGTAGATAATATACAATATCTATAACAATAAATACGAAATTATTTTAAATGCATTGTTAATACACCAATTTTTTAATTAATTATAGCAATATTATAATAATTTATTTATGCTATAATATTTAAAAAAAATTTTAGAAATGTGTAAGTGACATTTAATGTATTTTTTGGGGCCAAATATATTTTTTTTAATAATTTAACTATTTAAGTTTTAAACCTTAATCAGATTATTTAAGTTCAAATTGAATACTTAAATTAAGCCCTTTATGGAGACTATACAAGACAAAGTTTGAATTACACCTCTAAAGCATTGTTGGCCAAAAAACTGAAGCAAAATGTTTTGGTATACAAAACATTTTGCTTCAGTTACTAATTATTTAATTTATATTATATTGTTAATTAAATTAAAAAAATCTAGTGTGTTGCACTGGGGTGTGCTGGGGTGATCATTTGGATGTGTATGTTATAAACCAATTTTTTCATACACATCCAATATTTAATTGCAATGAATTTGCCTATGGATGTTAAGGTATAGAGAGATAGAATTTGAATATAATGTATTTAGCTGTCATAACATGTTAATGCACTTATTGTGTGGAATGCATACTCATCTTTATATATATTAAGCTTATGGAGCTCATCATCTAACATAATTGCAGGAAGTATTTAATTTACTACTAGCTATTGTCACTTATTAGTTATTGTTTGCTTTTGTAAATTATAGCCAACTAACTTTCCACCATATATAAACATATAAATCTACCTCTTTAATCACTCTTGATATTGATAAAATTAAAATCCATTCTATACTTAAATAGATCTCAATATAGCATACAGAAATGGGAAGTGACTGTGTTTCATACTATGTATAGATTATAACAGCCAGGTAGGTGAAGGATTTTTTTATATTAGTCCAGTAGTTTCGAAGCCTATTCTTTGCAAAACAAACAATTAAATCTTCTCTTTACAATATTAGTATATATTCAAAGATACATCAGTAACACTTGGATGGTACTAAACAGGTATTTTATTTGTACACTGATATGTTCTCTAAGGAAATTGTAAATATCCAAAAAAAGTCAAATGTCAATATTATTTACATCAAGCTACAAAATGCATAGTTTTACTTTCAATGTCAAAAGACTGTGTAAACTTTTCATGCATTTAACTATATGTTATTTTCATTACTACATTTTTCACAGTGAAAATCTGCTTGTAATAATTTTTCACTGCCAATTACAGGTTTCACAACATGTGCTTTGATTATCAATAAACAATAAACTCTATGAAGAATGACATAAAGGGAAGTTTGTCAATTTTTTTTAATTCAATTTATAATTATAGATTATATTATAAAACGTAAGACTACAATATGATGTAGTTAATACAATTTAATGGCACTTAAAAACACACAGAAAGTCGCGGTAAAAGTAGATACAACATGTAAAAGGGAAAGTGAAGATTCACATACCTAACTAACAGTAAGCAAACTAAACATTTCTAGCAAGTCAATAGTTTGTTAAACCCAAATACAAGCATTAATTATACAATTCTACAATCACACTTCATAAACAACTAAAAGTGTAGACCGTCGTGAATGTATAATACGAATTCAATTCTAGGCTAGACAAATAGCAGGATACATACACCTATTGCCGTCATCAGTAATCATCACACACTAACGACAGCTGCCACATCTACTAGTCCGTACGCAATGCCTACATTTTTAAAACAAATACTACACCAAATCAATATCATATAAGCATTATAAACAAAATCAATAACTAGTACAAATGACTAACCACACTTGCGGTGTCTTGGCTGTCTAGCGAATACTTGTCCGTATCTTTCCCTTGGTGGTCGCTGGAGAAATTTTCATATTTACGTGAGGGGCTATTTTTCATGATTTACGCAAAATATAGAGCTTAAGCTTCGAAAGACATTTTTATGTACCGACCGAAAAGACAACACGAAAAACTAACGCGAGCAATACACAAAACCACTGACGAAAAATCACCAACTGACTGACTGTCAAAAATGACGTTTCTCAACAGATGACAAGAAAAAGAATGAACTGTTGACATTTTGAACGTGAACAAGTGAATGAAATGACGAATAATGTTTAGTGTTCCAGTACACGCAAAATAATGTTTCGTCCTTTTTATTCTTTTCCATTTTCTGTCTATTATTGTATAAAAATACTTTAAATCACATCTAGGCGTAAAACTACAATACAGATATTATATATATGCCGCAAGAAGAACATTTAAACTCTTATTTCATTAAAATTATGAGATATGATGTTCTTGTTCATATTTTTTGTCATATTTTATAGTTAATACTTACAACGCTGTTAGTGATTCCATCATCCGGCATATCAATTCTTGTAAATCTGTATTCGCCATAATTCTTAAGACTTCTGCGAAACATCTAAAAAAATTGTAGGTAGTAAATTCACACTTTAGGTAGTCACAATGCACACTAAATATACACTCGTAAGTTTCTTCACAACTTACTTTCAAAGCCTACTAAAACACGAATGCCTTATCTTAAACACTTTATAATATGCTAAATATGACATGATCCACAGATGCCTATACGACTCACCTAGATAAATGTTATTGAAGTTACATAAAAAAATATCGATACATTTTTAAATTCTAAACTGCAATTAACTTGTTAAAAACATTATTTCTAAAAGCATTTTCCTTCTAGGAATGGTCATATGTTATAAGCTTATCAACCTACTGATAACAATTATGTACAAGTATATAGTCATAGTAGAATTCCGAACACATTTCATGGTTAGTTTTTATCAGTATCATTCATTCAATTCTTTACTTGTTTAAAGCACGGTAATGACGTGGATTATGATAAAGAATATGTTCTGTAGTTAGATTAAAGTTCTGTATATTTTTAAAATAGGATTATTTACCAAAGTAAACCAAATATTATTATTTGCTATATACTGCCTATATTTTAACAATATGTTAGGATGGAAGATGTTGTTCTTTATTTAATATCCAATATTTACGTGATAATTTATATATTTTTAGTGAGAATTAAATTTTATATTTCAGTATTCAGATGCCTTAAAGAAAGAAAGAAACTCAATTTAGGTAGGGCTGCTCTTAACAGATCAAACCAAGTAGGATTATTTTCGTTCAGTTGGTAATTTTGTACATTTTAATTTTTGTACAATAATTCATGAATTAACATTTATATAGCGTTTTCTGAAAAATATTTTTTATGTATTAAAAATTAATATCCAACGAAAACGATATATGTACATACAAAACGGTCAAATTTCCCTAGTGCAGCTGTGTGTACCTGAGATACAGTGCATCCATGCATCTCCAGTTTCGTATTTTCAACCAGACCAGAATGTACATTCTGGTGCTTATTTTTTTCATACCATATTGACAATAGCGACATGTTTAGCCTCTTACCTCCTACAGGTACTATACCCTTAAATAACACAAATAAAATAAATCAAATAATCGTTCTAACATGATTTATTTGAATATTGCCTATACAATAAAATTTACAAAAAAAATTACAGATGATCTAAGCTTTCAATCCGTCTTGGAGTCCAAAACCAGGACCTGTTGGTTCTTCGGTAAGCGACGTGAGTCCACCAAGAGGCTCAGATGCAAATCGTCCACTCCTGAAAAGAATTTTCATTCTTAGAAAATGTTAGCTGGTATACGCATATCCAAGAGCTGAAAGAAGCGGATTTGCAAATTAATGACAGATAACATAGAATAGGGAATACGTCAATCTCGGTGTAGGTGGCAGCACTAGCACATGAAGTAAACAAAAAAAATGAATGGTTTTTTTCCTTCTTACATTAAAATATACAGATCTGTATTATTGGACATATAGAATGTATTATTTGATAAAATTACAGTATTTCTACTTATAAATTCTATATTCCTACTATGTTCACTATTATTTTACTCTGTGCTACTATTAATTCTATAAATAACGTTTGATGTTCATAAAAACTGTAAGTGCTGCATCCTGGCGACAAAAAGTAGCAGTAAAACTTCCGATCTTGACGATACAGCTCCTACTGTGTACGGAGGTTCAATGTTTTCATACAAAGTATTCTAAAATTTATCTTTCTTTCGAATGACCATTCATTCAGAATAATATAGAAATAAAAAACAGAAATAAAATTTGATTAAGAAAGACTTTTACTTGTGGGGCTAACTGTGTATGAAGTATCGTCCTTTGTCTAATAATTTGTTAGTTTTGATGTTATTCATAAATAGTTTCTATTGATGATAATCACTACTATGTTAGAAACTTTAGTTTCTCTAAAAATACAAAATAGTATTTATAGTATATTTATATATAGTTTTTAATATGCGTGTTTTTGTTTGGTTACAATAACTTACCTTGGGCCAGGCTTTGGTTTTTCGTCTTTCTTTAATTTTTCAATTATTTCTTTCGTGTCTTCTACTGACAGGTCTTCCTGAAAAAAGGGTAACATAAAGATATTCACAAATATTGTAATACGAAAATTTGTTTTAAATTATGAAAACTCTCAATCGGAAAAGATGAGTGTTATCTAACGATTATATTGCAAATAAAAATATAGAACAGCGCCATCTAGGGATTTGTTACAAAATATATTTTGCCGATATAACGTTACGCGTTGAGTCGTCTTTCAGGTTACTTGATACACAAATTGAAAACATGACTTTTAGTAATGCAATTTTATGAGTCACAACATTTTTTGACAAATGTCTAGATAAAAACGGTATTTAGCACCTTTAAGGACGATAGTCACCTGTCACCTTTTAATTTTGTTAATAAGTAACAGTGGTTGCGAAGTTATTGCTGCTTGTACACATACAGTAACTTTCACAGATATCGGGAAAGGGTCGAAACTGTAACCTAAACTTCAAGCTATTCCAAGCATCCATATTCTAGTAAATACTTACATAATAATCGTCATTCACTTGGATCATTGGTGCATTAACACAAGCTCCTAGACATTCCACCTGTAATAAAAAAAAAAATTATAATAAGAATCATGAACAATTTTCGTAAACGAGTACATAAATAATAGCACGGGCCAAAAAAGAAACATTACCAGTACAGTATATGCTGATATTTTTATATGTGCTCTTATCTTTGTAAATTGTTTGATGAAATAGCAAATAGTAATCAGTGGCACACTTTTTCATGGTTGTACAGTTTTAGATTTCTTCGCCATAATTCATGAATATCATAAATAATTTTTTTTTTTTTTTTTATTTATTCGGTACACAAACAGAAATACAATTACATCAATAAATAAGTCATCACGTAACAATGCAGCATGTCGAGTTGCACTGCCAATGACATGTGTACACAACATCATGAGACAAAATCAAGGCAAACATAATTTAGAGTGGGTTCAAAATTCATGCATAATTAAAAAATAAATAAATACAATTATTAGCTTTGCTAATCTCATAATGAATATGTATAATTATAATTAAAATCAATAAATTAAACAATAAAATACAATACAATATCTATCCCATTTTCAATTTACATATTCCATTCCTAAAAACGTTTAAAGACGAACTGTAGATGTCAGGTATTGCCAAATTATCATTATTTTTATGAAGTTCATTAAAGTCACGGCATATTCTATGTATTGGATTGTTAAATGACAAATTGTTGGCATCGAGTGGCACACTAAATGGGCGCAGCAGCCTAGGCAATCTAAAAGGCGCTCTCAAGTGAATTTCCGATAGCAAAGATGAAGGTATCATCCCGTTCAATATTTTATATAAGAATAGAATACCGTGCATTTTTCGGCGATCATAAAGACTCAGCAAACCAAAGAAACGCAAACGTTCGCTGTAGGAACAGAGCTCACGCTTGAGGAAATATTAGACAACATCACATACATTACTCAGATTCCAAAATACTCGCTACTCGCTATTATGGAGTATCTGAGACAACGAAGATATGATGAATATATGTTACTTTCGTTACAACACCCAGATCAGAGAAAATCAATTTTATACATTCCGGGACCTCAGAAATGGCGTCACCTTGAACCGGGCGGGAAGCACTCGACTTCAGGCAGAGGTCGTCAATATGTTGTTGATTCTACTAACTCAACTTTTTCACTATTTACATTTATAAGTGTACGGACATGCCTCTCATTAGGTAATGCAAACTTTATGCATTTCGTTTTATTTGAATTGAGCTTTAAAATATTATTATCAAACCACTGTAGAACATTGTCGAGAGCGTTATTTACATCGTCAAAACAATCATTACCCCTCTCAACTTTAAACAGTAAAGAGGTGTCATCTGCAAATAATACTGTCTCGCACAAATTCTTCATAAAGTGAGGAAGATCATTAATATAAATTAGAAAAAGCAATGGTCCTAATACTGATCCCTGAGGGACGCCCATAGTAACTGGTGCCCCTGTTACTATGGGCGTCCCTCAGAGATAATTTGTATATAATAATATAATTTGTATAAAAATGATTGATTGATTTGTATTTAATTTAATATTTTTGTTAAAATATATTGTTAGATTTGGTGAGTACCAGGGACAAAGTGGATTTTTAAAGCATTTTTTCATTAAAAATATTAATTCTTTCTTGTCACAAAAACATGGAACACTTGTTGAAATTTAAATGTACTCACTTCAGAAATAGAGAACTTTCCACATGGACTATTTCCACCAACTTCACATCCTGTCGCCTCTTTGATTGCATTCAACACTGCATCTGATCCTCTTAACCAACATGGAGTAGTTGTGCATACTTGCACATGGTATTTACCAATGGGTCGTCTGGAATTAATGACACCAATTTTTAATTTTTTAATGAAGTAGAAGTGGTGGAATGAAGTAATAATAGATGTTTTATGACACTAGGACTTTTTAAATTATTGATATCATCACAATATGGGTGTAGACAGTAAATAAAAATAAAACCAATTTTTTTTTTTTGTAGGAAGTATTTAATATACCGTTTTCGATAATAACAATATCATGCTTATTTTATTTACATTAGTTATTATATTTTTATTTTGCACTAATTGTCATGTGAATATAAACAATGAGTGACATCACACTCCTCTAAGGAAGATTTTTACTTTGACATTAACATACATAGAACAATGTTTGTTGTTGTTATTGTTATTTTTGGAGGGCTGTAACGTCACATGACAGGGGTTAGCGTTTTAGCAGGAAGTTTGAACATGAATTTTACTAGATTTTAAATTGATATATGGGAGGTAATTTTATAAATATATTTCAAGTATATCTATAATATAAAAATATACAAAAAATTGTATACACCTGTATAACTATCTGATTTACACATACTAAGTTACTTTACCAACTTTACTTTACCAAATATAATACCTAACTGTATTATATTTGAAAATGCTTAAAAAACCCACTTGATACCTAGCACCCTGAAGGTGGATTTTTAAGCATTTTTCTTTAATAATGGTTATAGAGGTAGTTAACAAATTATCTACTCACCTAATAAACATAGTATAGAATGTTGCTACCTCATAGACTCTCATACGAGGAAGATTAAGGATTTCAGCTACCTTATGCATGGCAGAAATTGGCAACCAACCACCATTCTGACGCTGTGCTAAGTCCAGGAGAGGAATCATTGCGCCTCTTTTGTGGCCCTCTGGATAGATTGCTAGGAGTGCATCAACACGCTGGAAAAAGATATACATATTTTATTATTAAATTGTAAATAAAATGTGTAATATCCCTAATAGCCAGCGTTTGCTAAGATAATTCATAAGTAGAACGAAATTTATACGAAATAATTAACGAAACAACACACATAGGGCCTTTTTACTTGCTAATGTTTAAGAATTTCAACAACAATTTTGAAAATCTCATTTAAACTTATTTTAGCAATTTTCTGTTTTAAAAGAGCAAATGCATAAAGCACAATGATAGAAATAAAAAATAAATTTTAATTTAAAGCAAGAAGATTAGTTTTGAAAGATCAATTTCTAACCAAAACAAAAGAGTTAAGTACTGACCTTTTGGTTTGCTGTGCTAAATTCGAAAGGTATATTAGGGTTATCCTCAGGGGTATCTCTGTGTACGAACAGACTGTCATGCTGTAAGGTTGTGGTGGTCTGCAAAGCCCTAGATGATACACGCCACTGAAAACATTATCAAGTTGATTGAAGTTGTTTAGTGTACTGTCAAATTATATAACTTGTTTCTATAGTAAAATCTGTATATATGAAATTTAAATTGCACTGAAAAACGCACCAAACCCTGGACTCCAGACCTCAGGCTGGATAACATGTTTTTTTATTGATTCTTATAATTTAAATTAAATTATAGCGAATCACTGATTTCGAATAGGTACAAAAATACAACCACTGAACGAATGACAGGTTCAGTTTGTTCATTCGTTCTCTCACGTCACGTCACAAAATAAATTAATGAACGAACAAAATAAGAACCACAAGAAAAAAATCAAATGTTAAGTAATGTGTATGTAGTGTTAATTTGTGAAAGTCCACGTTAGTCAGATAGATTTTTTCTGGATTCATAGTTTTTTTTATAATTTTAAGTAGATTATATAATTGTGGTAAAATCTTATCTAATAAAATCAAGAAATCGATTCCTAAACGATGACTAACTCGAACAAAATCGATTTTGTAGAGAGTAGTTTTAACTTATCCAAATTAATCAAAATCGCTAAGATATTCATTGCTTTTATATTGTACGACTATTGTTTATCACATATTTATCTTTGATATTTATAAAAGTTGAAAATATTCACACCTGTTATTATGTAATCCGCAAAGTCAATAGTAATAAATCATGCTATTTCTTTATTATCAAGCGTATAAAAGTGTTATTTTTGTTGAAATAAATTATTTAATCGTGAAAATGGCCTTTCCTAAAAAAACGAGAAACTATTTTCTTAATTTTGGCGTCATTAATTTCTAATAAAACGCCTGAACGAGGCAAGTAAGTTCCTATAGAACATGAAAAAGCATTGTCTGCTTGCACTATATGCCTATATTTCCGTATAAAAAAAGGAAAATAAGAGCAAAATGAATAGACAAAGCGCGATCGGCAAAACAACGACGTAGTTACTATAGTAACTGCCGCATTCTATTCTCTATTCTCCATGCACCAAAAATGTTTGCCTACTACTTACTTGCACACAATGCTCCGTTTTCGTTTTGCTGATGGATATTACTTAGTACTAATACATTATATAATCAAATGGGTACTTAATTAGTATTAATTAATTCATACTAATTAGGGTTTCATTTTTATATCAATTGGTGGAGTTGGTGTTAATTTATGAAACCATTATTAACTTGCATTTTTACACAAATACAGTAAAAATGTGGACTATTATATTTGATCAATTTTGCATTCAAAATGCTATTGGATCAAAGTGATTATTTTAAGGAACGATATAAATTGCATTTTTTTTATATATATAAATGATGAGTTTTTTTAATAACTCTCTAAATTAATAGTTATGCTTTTGCTTTAATACTTACACCCAGTTGCACAAATGTCCGTTAAAATTAACATTTGTTTTAAACGACGTTGTCTATGCAAATTTCAAAATTTAGGACTTTCTTTAGAGCTTAAAGTCATCTTTAAAATTTAATGGTGCAACTGGATGTTAATAACTAAAAGTGATCTCTACTACACAACATTTCGATGGAGAGGACATTCAACAATATCAAATTTTATACAAATAGAAGGTTTATAATATTGATAATTAAAATACTGAGCCAAATACTATTCACATAAAATAATAAAATCCCTATAAATGGAGCAATAAATCTTCACACCCAAAAATGAAGTAAAATAAATTTCCTTAAAAAGACATAAAAACATAAATAAAATCAGAGTACTAACGCCATCTACTGATAGTTAAAACAAATGAACAAACCGTTCTTTGCGTCAGTTATTCCGTTAGATGGCAGCACTTGTCACTTTCTTCGTTCAAGCCACATCATGCGTGGGGATTGTCGAAGTTATTTACGATTCTCATTTCAGGTATTTGGTTTATATAACGATTAAAAACTGGTTTATATAACGATTAAAAACGACCAACCCACATGTTATGACTAAGGTTTAGAGCTTTTAAAGTTAAAGCTTGTATAGTTATGGCATGTAGAGTTAGAAACTTCGTTCTATACTTATAAGATCTGAAAACTTTTTTGATGATGCGAGCTAAATGGTATCGCCTTGGCAACAATTTACATTTGGTAAAATGTTCTTCTTTTAGTTGTGCTATAAGCTTCTTGAGCAGGTCATAAAAAATATAGGAAGTCAACTCAAAATCTAATCGATACATGTAAATAGCGGCCTACTGGGGAGCGGTAGGATTTGAAGTAAAAAACCGGCAAGGTGCTAATCGGACGCGCGCATGTATGGTTCGATATCGAAAACGAGCAAAATCTCACGTTTGTCGTGTGGTAGCCCCCTTAAATATTGCTTTATTCAAATTTTTCGTATTTGTTGTTATAGCGGCAATAAAAAAACATTATCTGTGAAGATTTTCACAGTTCATGATATAAAACCTGGTGACAACAAAAAAAAATCATGTTTGTTGTATGGGAGCCCCCTTAAATATTTAGTTTATTCTGATTTTTTTGTATTTTTTTGTTGGAACGGCAACAGAAATAAGTCATTTATGAAAATTTCAACTGTCTAACTTTCACGGTTCATGAGATAGAGCTTTGTGATAGACAGACAGACAGATAAACAGCGAAGTCTTAGTAATAGGTTTCCCGTTTTTTACCTTTGGGTACGAAAACCTAAAAAAAAATTAAATAGTATTTACTTATACAACTTTGTCACAAGATGGCGCTATCTACCATAGAAAAGACGCATCTCTCATAAAAATAATGTGGCAAGACAGTGGCTTTCTGGACTTTTACAAAATCCAACTTTAAACACATCACACTAAAGAAGTGCAATGATGAAATGATAGCAATTCAACCTGGATAACAACCACTGGGAGACAAATTGTCCTTGTGTATCTTCGTACCGCAATTATAATCACTTCCACTTAGATCGGACCACGGAAGGATCAGTTATTTTTTTATTCACGATCCAATTCTTAACAAACAACACAACAAGTAACAAATTTAGGTTTATTGAATTTATTGGCTGCGTCAAATGCACCTTACCTGTATAAATTTTTCGAGGGCCTTTGATAAAATGAATCACAATATTACTTATAAAAAAGCTTATACAAAAGTTGATGTACAAAGCACGATAAATGGAATGGATCACATTTTACAGTTAAAGCAGAAGTTAGGTAATTATATGATAATTCATAAGGTTCTCTTTAGATTTTTTCGCATTCCATCTGGGCTCACATTTAGGTCCTCTGTTGTTCTACTTTACATTAATAATATTGACAATGTTTTCAGTAAGGAATTACTTAAAAAGTAAAGCAATTTTAAGTCAAAAAAGAGGTTATTATTATTTTGAATTATTTGCAGACCAAAATTTCGAGCAAATTATCTATGAAATGCGTTACAATTATTTTCCTTCGGAAAATATGTATAAGACGTCATCATTTTTCTCTACCTATTTCCATTAAGCTATTGATTTCACTTTTGCAATAATGTTACGTGTAAAAAAAATAAAATTACTCTCTGTGGACGTATAAGTTCCATCGTTATGTTTGAACGTAATACATACCGCTATTTAGTGCATTTATTTTATTAGTTATTTTTACACTTCCTCATTACAGTCGCCACTTAGGTAATTTATGTAACGAACACAAAATTAATCATGATGGTTTCACAGTAACGCATTACATAACTGGGTATTTATATAAAATATTAATATCAATAATCTACATAGATTTTTGAGATTGGAAGATCATAATGGTATTGAAACATAGGAGCCGTTTTTCATAGATTGGATTCATTTTCATCCCAACATAAACAGGGACACTGTTACTCGTTGTACAAAATCATCATCAGCCTTATTTCGTCCCCACTGCAGGAGCTCTGTCTTTCCTAATGGATGGTGAAGAAGGATGGGCCACGATCCTCCACGCTGGTCAAATGCGGATTTGAGGGTATTAACGACTGCAAATACAGCAGGGCCTAACGTGCCTTCACCCATCCCGTGACTGACCTTTGTAAAAATCGCTTAACAAAAACCATCGACGGCCGTAACACTTATTCACTACGCCACGGAGCTACCTACTCCTGCTGCTGTGTCAACTATTCCTGTACATTCCCCCCAACACTGAAAAAATAAACTCTCGTTCTACCATTAATTTTCTTTTACTTCTATTGTCTTTTTTCTTTTCTTATTCGTTTTAGCATTTTTGTATTATTTATTAATTAAGGATTTTTTTGATAACATCATCATGCGAGAAATTTACTTCTACGAAGCTTGGGCATAATAAAATTCATTAAAAAGTAATCCCATGAGTATTAAATGCCATAAATATTGTTACATAGAAAATCAACATTTTTGTATTGAACGTAGGGGAGAGTCAGATGTATCGTACCAGTTTTTAGGTTTTGTTAATTATATATTTTCTATGAATACTTACAATCCTATGGTATTACGTATTAAGTAAATAGGCTTCTCGTTAATCATAAGCCGTGTCATTTCATTCCCGAAACTGATTCATTTGCCCGAAATACGCTTTTTTCTACAGGTCGTCAAATGGTACGATTTAAAGAACTAGTTGGATGTATTGTACCATCGGTGTGATGAATTGTACCACTAAAAGATGAAGCATGTTTAAACTCCCCAAAATAGGTGTATATAAATAAATTGCAACTTTTTATTTATTATATTTTTCTAATTAAGAATAAATCACATTAATAATAATGATTTAGAAGTAAACAATCATAAAAATGGCTCAGAATACAATAAATGATATTTATTGTTTATAGTACACGTAATATCACTTTATCCTAATTATAGTTTTTGTTATGGCACTTATAACATATACTTATTTATCAACAAAATATATATTTTATATAAAATTAAACAATTTTAGGAAATTAGGTTTACCTTACACAAATGAGCTACCATATATTAGATGACCTTTATTTTTGGAAATATAGTATTTATCAAAACGAAATATTATTCTTTTTTTAACACAAATTAACGATAAATATTACCTTTATATGTTCTAGATTAAAATTTGTATCAAAATCTAAATTATCTTCTAAATTAAACAAAAAAAAATAGCTTCTAATAATAAATGAATTTCGCTTCAATTGAAACAGTTATCACAGATGTCTGGATTACGTACAAGTTTCATGAACCTATTTTTTACAACGAATGCACTGAATCCAATCCACTTTTGGACCAGTTTTATCATAGTAATTTTCGTTGCATAGGGCACAAACATCATCTG